TGTATAAAACTACCAGCTTTGTATYGCTGCTGTAGGGCTGGAATCCTGACTATAAATTGGTACCTGGCTGCAGAAAAAGCTTTGAGAATCCCAGCCACTCACTCTGATTCCCCAGGCTAAAGTGCTCAAAAAGAAACACAGCTGAACTACGTGTCTCAATTTGTAACACATCTCTTATTTTAACATAGTCTTTGGTGAAGTAAAACTCTTGTAAGTTTCTCTATGTTTGCTAAATAGCATAAAAAAATTACATATACACCCACATATGTATGCACATTGAAAACATTCAGAGAATAATTTTCTGCTGCAAATGTGAGGTGCTAAGTGCTCAGATGCTGTCCTCCACTGATAGAGCTGTTTGTATTTGATAAATTCACAGATTCACAGAATATTTAAGGTTGGAAGGGACCTCTAGAGATCATCTAGTCCAACCTTCCTGCTCAAGCAGGCACACCTACAGCATGTGGCACAGRGYGGCATCCAGGCGGGTTTTCAAGACCTCCAGAGTAGGAGACTCCACAACCTCCCTGGGCAGCCTGTTCCACTGCTCTGTCACCCTAACAGTAAAGAAGTTGCTCCTCACCTGGAGAYGGAACTTCTTATGCTTCAGCTTGTGGCCATTACCCCTCGTCCTATCGCTGGCCACCAGTGAGAACAGCYTGTCCCCTTCCTCCCTGCATTCTCCCTTCCTGAACTTATACATATTAATCATATCCCCTCTGAGCCGTCTCTTCTCCAGAGAAAACAGGCCCAGCTCACTCAGCCTCTCTTCATACGAGAGATGTTCCATTCCCTTGATCATCCTGGTTGCCCTTCTCTGGRCCCTCTCSAGAAGCTCCACGTCCCTCCTATACTGGGGTGCCCAGATCTGAACACAGTGCTCCAGGTGCGGCCTCACCAGAGCTGAGTAGAGGGGCAGAATCACCTCCCTTGACCTCCTGGCAACACTCCTCCTGATGCAGGCCAGGATCCCATTGGCCTTCTTGGCCACGAGGGCACACTGCTCACTCATGGTTAACTTAGTGTCAACCAGGACTCCCAGGTCCCTCTCCGTGGAGGTGCTTTCCAGCAGGTCGACCCCTAGTCTGTACTGATGCCTGGGGTTATTCCTCCCCAGGTGCAGTTGTCCTTATTGAACCTCATAAGGTTCCTCTCTGCCCAACTCTCCAGCCTGTCCAGGTCCCTCTGGATGGCAGCACAGCCCTCCGGAGTGTCGGCCACTCCACCCAGCTTGGTGTCATCTGCAAACTTGCTCAGGGATTCTTCCTGTGTGATCTTAAGCTCCTTATTATCCTAACAGCAGAATAAGTATAGTGAGTACCAGTTATTAGTACAATCTGAGGGACACGTTCATAAAGCAGAAGCTGTCCCTGTCTGACTGGCACACACTGTGCAGGAGATCTGGGCCAGAGCGCTCATTGCTCCAAGGTCACTCCATTTGACAGGTTTATAAAAGGACTTTGTCACAGACTACACAAAATATACAGTCTATGAAGTAGATGCTTATAGAAGAAAAGGTTCTAGAGTCCTTCTAGAGCCCTTCCACTTTTACTGTATGAAAGTTTTGTAGCTAAGACAGTAATTTCATTACAATAGAAACAGCAGAACAAGCAAAAATTAAAGTCTTCAAAACTGTTTGTACTTCCAGATACGGGACAAAAGTTTAGCAAGTGGATTATAGGCAGCGCAAACAACGATATCTAAAACCCAATTCCAGATTTACTCCAGCCAGTAGGTCAACTATAGCACTTGCTGAACACATTACTTTGCACTGCTGCTGAGACTGAAAAGTCTTCATAATTTGAAGTTTATTTTGTTCTGCTGAGACTTTATAGCCTTTGCCAGTGATTTTTTTCCTGTTCAAGGGAGCTCCACAGTGCTCTATCTCCTAATAACAGAAATACTACTGTATCTTTTTACTAAAAATACTGGAGAAAGCAGATTAGTGTAGGGGATACCAATACACTAAATGGGTTTATTCATTTTTTATATCCAGCTCATGTGGCCATGGCCAAGAAAGAGGCAAACTGGTCAGCTTCACTCAGACATAAAAGAGTAAATAGTCAAACTAGAATAATATAATTATCATTTGTGTCTTTTAATTTCTGTGTAAAATTAACTTTGCAAAGATTTTGCATGTCTGCAGGCCTTGATCATGTAAAACAGACCTCTGTCCTGACAGCATCTGTGTATGCAACTTTCTCTGCAGATTTAAGGTAATAAGTCCCCCTTATCCTGACATGAGCAGTACAGAAACAAAGAAATGAGTATCATCTTTACATTAACATATGGCAGTATCATTGAATGGCAGGCATCTATAATATTTCCTAACTGGTATTGTCCAAGTCACAGGGAGGAGACCGAAAATGTCTTTACAAATTACAGCTCAAAACTGTTTCACTGCCCAGCTCCAYGTCCACACCTCGCAGGTCAAATACTCATCATTATTCCCGGTCACAGCTGCACTGCGCAGGTTTGCTATTGACAAACTCCCGTTAGTTTTTGCGGTGAACATAAGCAGGAGAAATTGCACAAAGAAGCAATAAAGATATGAGACACCAATAAATGTGCCCCAGGGAACAGTGGGGACAGGAAAGACAACACACACAAACAGGACAAACCATCAAACTATCAGTTTTCTGAGACCAACAGTTCAATATATTTCAATAAGAATCTTGCTGAATAAGATAAAATAAGGCATATTTATTTATATTCTTTAAATATTTTTCAGTATTTAACATTGAAAACTGTTAAAGAATCACATCATTTATTTTAAGGAATGTTCTTTCAGAACATTCACAATATTTGCATTCTAAGAAATGCAAAACTGTACATAATTCACTCAACTTTAAAGGACTATTAATAATAATTTTTAGAAGCGCAGTTAACACAAAACATCAACATCCTCCCTGTAATGGGCACTGAAGACAGTGGACTTATAGTTGAGATCTGAACACAGACCTGGTCTAGTTAGCAGAAAAAAAATCACTGAGCTTTGAAAATCACAGTGCTGCATGAAATGTGCTGTTCTCAGAAGACAAGTATCTGCACAGGGAATGTTGTACTAGGTCAGATCCAAGATCCATATAGTTCAAGACCACATCTGATCAAATTACTTCAGAAAATCAAACTACTTCAGAAGTCAAATGAATTTTGCAGTGAAGTGGTAAAAGGTGACCTGCACTCTCTAGCATTTTTTACTYGCCTGTGTATAAGAAATAGACACAAGCAACTTAGTGAACGGTTTCACAGAAAGATACCTCAGATCTTTCTCTGGAGGTCGCAAGTTGCACCAATGATTGTAAGAAACACGTTGCTTTTTATCTGTAACTCCCTAATAATTCATTCTCAGTCCTCTCTGTCCTTTCATTTTCTTAGGAGCATTTTGTTGTTGTTTTACCCTGGCTGCTTTAAAGAGCTATTACTAGCTCAGCAAAACCTCCTCATGCAGCGAATCCGCAGCTTTACTTGGAAGCTCCTGTTCTGTGACAGGCAAGGGAGCATCTTCCCTCTGCGAAGGCCCACTGTGGCTGCAGGCATCTGAAGCAACATTATTTGCAGTTCTCTCTACGACATGTCACATGGGATCTAAGTTCTGGGGAACTGTCAAACTGCAGCACCAGAAGAAATTTTACAAGYAACATCTTTTGAAAGGCCAGTTACCGATAATAAGGATACTATATTCATGACCTTCATGTATGTGTTTGCAAGAAGACAGGATTCTAAAGCCTACAAGAGGTACTAACTTTTCATTAGCTTGCAAACTAGTAGTTTGTAGTTAAAAATGTAAACAAAAACTAAGTGCTAAAAATGCTCAGAACATTTAGAATTATTATCCACAAGTGCAAGTGCACAACTAGAGAAAGCAATTCCAAAATAAGACTGAGATATGCAGCACTTAGAAATTTCTCTGACAAGTGAGTCAAGTGAACATGACTTGATTTGAATAAATACACACGGCTGCTTCTGAGGTGTTCACACAGAAGCCAGGAAAGCTGCTTGCTCTTCATGCTATTCATAATTTAAATAAATAAAAGGGGGGGGGGGGGAGAAACAAACCCTAGGCTTTCAAAATCAACCATTTCCCATCACCAAAACTAGTCTTTTAAAAAAGAAAATATAGGATTATTAGTGCTTATTCCAATTCCCAAGTGCAGAATTGTGACTCTCTCTCATGTGTGCAATCATTCAACATTTGAGCCACACAAAGACCAGAATCAGCAAAGTCTTGCAAAATGTATTCAAGTCCCTTTATTGTTGACAGGACTTCAGGGCACTTTTGAAGTCCTGTTACGTAAAAAAGGAGATTAAAATTAAGCATGTACTGGACCACTGAATAGTAACTCTTGTTGAACTAGGGCCGGAGCTTGGATACAGTTAGGCCCTCAGATACTGAAAAGTACATTTAAAAGAATGTGTTATACATCTTCAGAGACTGTGAAAGACTTCACACTATTTGTCCTTTAAAACATTTCAATTTAGAGTGTTATCTGAATGCCCAAGCATAGCTCTTTTTGATATTGGACCATAGGGAATTACACAAATGCATCAATGGAAATTAGTAGGAAATGTGACTTTTCTCAGCTTTAGAAAACATAGTCAGGAATAATAAAAGATGCTTACTATCACAAACCTCATAAGAGAATCTCTCTCCTTCTTTCTTCTGCTCAGTGGATTGCAAGTCAAAGGCATTAGACAAAGACATGACACATTACAGACAAAGCACAATGCACAAATTCTGCAAAATTTTCAGTTACAGGCAACAGTACCGATACATAAAAAAGCAAAATATAGTGCAATACAAACATTAAAATAAAGCTGGCACTACAGACTGTAACACCAAACATCCRATGTTGGTTCAACTTTACAGATCATTAGCATGTTTCTTTGATTTGTTTTTTCTTCCCCAAATGTAAGTGAAGGCTGTTACTAGGTTAAAAACATAGTGCTAATGATCTCTAAGCAACTCTGAAGAGAACCAGGAAAAAAATTTCACTCACCTCCTTTCCTCCCATGGACTCAAACATTTTCTCAAGCTGGACTCGTAACTGTTGAATATTGTTCATCAAGATACAGGGCTACAAAAAAGCAGAAAATGTGATAAATGTGTGTTCACAACCCTCAATTGCTGGGGAAAAAAAGGTAACAAAATAAAATATAGATAAAATTCAGCAGCTTATTAAAGAATTATGGGARAATAGATCTATTGCTACGATTTTGTGTATTCAGATGACATTATGTGCCAGTTTGGTAGGACTGGAGGACAAACAACACAACCTTGGTGCACCAAGTGCACCAGTGCAGCACCACATTCATACAGACTCTGAAACGATGCATTTCAATAGACCCTTCCTGCAGCAGGAGCTGGAGGACAAGATTCATGTTTTGGGATCCCTGATGCCCCCCTTGCCTTCCTCCGTGCACTGAGCTGTGAGTAAGTTAGCTGAGCACATCTATCTGCTTGCATCTAATGTCAAAGGCACCGAGCTGTCAGTCAGCATTTATTGACTGAACTGCCATCTCCTGCCTCCTCCAGGAGCAAAGCTTCAGGAGGGCTAGACACAATCTGGCCTGTGGCTGTCATCAGGACCTCGAGGAGGTTACTTACTGTGTAACAAGGCTCTTGAGGGTATTCCTAGGTATAAGGAAAGTGTTGTGCTTAAAGGGCAGTTAATATTTATCTGGTAAACAATTTTAGAAGCAATTTTATATGTAAATGCCATTTCCAGGAGTTATTCAGTTATGGTGATTAAGTTATTTCTGCTCATAGATCTGCAACTATTATCATGGGGAATCACTTGTAAATTCATACAGTTGTAAAGCCAAAACMCTTCTGTTACTTGCATGCTTGTTCTCTCTCAAGCTCCGCTTGAGTGTTCACTGCATGTTCACTTGTGTTCATGAATGGAAACAAAATTCCATGTCATATGGAAGCTAAATCATGATTTACTGTTTAAGTGACCACTGAAACTGGGAAACTTGGGATGGCAGCAAACAGAAGGATAGAACCGAAGTCCCAAACTATTCAAGGAGCCCTTTTACATTGTGACTGGTTTTTATATGCAAGAAAGGCCCAGAAACAGTGGGCCATAAAGAGGACAGGTGGCAAGGACAGGCAGAGAATAATATATAAATAATAATTCTTACTATTTGTATTTTAGCTTACAACATGTATACATATACTTTCTGGCACAACTGCAAGTAGTGAAAGAAATACTAGTGCTGAATCAGTTGGTTAAAATATATGTGTGTAATAATCTATTTTAATGTCCCTTTTCTGGGACTGTTACATGCAGTACTCACAAGAAGCAAGCACAGGACTTCCAAAGAGATTATTTCTGGTATGACACATAACTGTCTTTTAGACAAATGATCAATCAAAAAATAATTACAGTAAGATTCATTTCCATAAGAAGAGATAGAAATTTATCTAATAAAAAACACATAAACTATCTGGTGCTTCCTATGTCCTTTTGGGTAACCACCAGTCTGTGGCTACATGCAAATAGTATTGACCAGATTTAGACAGAGGGGAGCGAACTTCCCACTCTTTTTACTGGAATTACCTAGGGCAGAAACACACTCGTGATACTACAGCTATCTTTCTATGCCCTTCCTGACACCGTTCTCATGGAAAAATGTATCTATTTCATTATAGCTTTTCTATTCTATTCCATCTCTATCTCCTCCTTTTTGACACATTCATTATTCTGGAAACTATTTGCAATGTCATAAATCAACGATGATTTCTGATGGATAATAAGTAGTTGAAAATAATGTTTGGGCTTTTTGTTCAAAACAAATGCAAATGTCTTTGGCAATATACTAAAGCTAATTATAAAAACAGATGCTCTCAGATAAATACTCCACAATGAGACAATTTTCTAAGTTTCCTCCAAGACTAGGGTTACTGTTTCAGAGCTGAAGCCTATCTTGGATCAGTGGAAAAAAAAATCTATTGCTGTCATTATATAACATAATCAGAGCTTAGAAACATTCTCATCTTATTACTCCAGTATTACCTTGTCCCTCAGAATTGTGCTTGAAGCAATTTAAAGAAGGACTCAGACAGCAAGACACAACACACAGAAGAGCAAATGTGTGTGTGTGTGTGTGTGTGTGTGTCTGTGTGTGTGTGTGCGCGCGCGCGCACGTGTGTAAATAAAAGCTGGTATTTTTGTAAACTCTGACAGGAGGTGGAAGATAAGATGTTTTTATGCTACACGTCTCTTTTTATGAAAAGCAATCTTTCTCAGGCTTTTATGTGAACAGTTTATGTATACATTTTACAGTGTTTAATAAAAACAGTAAAAATAGACCTGAAAAAGAATGTCAAAACCTAACTACAGTCATAAAAAGTATTTGATTTAATCTCTTCTATCAAATCAAATGGAGAAGATGGAATTCAAACGAGTTCAAATGGTCACTAAGCTAAATGCATGTAAGCATTTAAAAGAGATGCCATCTATTAAAAATAAATTATCTCCAACAAAGGCATTTGTTTTATTACTTCATGCCTTACCTGTACTACAAAACTATAATGAGATTAATCTCCCTAAAGTCTTAGTAAAATAGTAAAATTGTCATTCCAGGATGATTTCAGAAATCAGTCACTTCAATAATTAAAAATATCCCATTAGACAGGGTAAAAGATGACACAAACAGTTTACCTGTGTGACTCAATACTGTGTGTCAAGTTTTGTTTCTTCTAAAAAGTAACAAACTTGGTTTAATATCGGAATTAAATTGAAAGGCACAGATAAACATTGCTACAAATTCTAGATTACATTTGGATTATAGTTATGGCTATAATACTGGGCCAAATGTTTTGGATAAAGCTTGGTTTGAACTCGTTAACATTAAAGCAGAAGTAGAAAAAAAGGAATGAATTTGCTTCCGCCTCCCGAGGCGGTAATATTGTTTTTCCCCTGGAGGAAAGAGGGGTAAGAAATGCGTGTAAGATATAGAAGAAGAGACAAAATCACGTGACTCTCTTCATGCATGTTGATGCAGAGACAGCCTTTTGATTTCCATGCTTACTTCAGGAATAGAACAGAGGATCTGAAGAAACAGGCTTGACTGAACACAGGGAACATCTTGCTTGATTATGGTAAAGCACCTGGCAAAACAGTGTGCTGGTCTGTCGCAAACAGCTACCCGTGTTTCCAAATATCAGTGCAGCTACAGGAGTGATTCTATTCACACAGTGCTCATTTGGCTTGGCCCAGTGCTTTTAGTCTCTTCTAGTGTTGAAAAGATTTAAGTACTGCCAGGAGCAAGATGTGTGGATATCTGCTAAAGTGGGTCTTTTCTCTGTGTTTGCTGTAATAAAAGGCTTAATAGTTTAAAATATCTGAAGGAGGAAGTACGTCTGAGACATGACACGACATATAATAAGATAATTTTCCATTTAAAACATGTTTAGAGAATTGCTGCATAGCAATACGCCTTTGAACTTGGTGGGTTTTGTTTATTGATACTATTTTAGATGAGACAGTATAATAGGAACAGAATGATAGAACCTTATTCTAGCAAGCATAAGTAGCAAAGAGCTTGTAACTCTCCCATGAATACCTTTGATAAGGAGAGGCAGACTGATACAAAATGGAAACTCAAACAAATGAAACTTTTCTTGTGCTTGGGAAAAAAAATTGAAGACATATTTACCATTTTCACTTTTGAATTATGATTTTGTACTAGATTACATCCAGATACCGAGTCTGGCCATATCACTAAAAAACAGGAAATAAAGCACACTAAGATGGAAGATGCTAATCAGGATGCTGAGCTAATTCCACCTATTCAAACTGCTGCATAGCTATCCTTCTCTTTCTGTGAATCATGTCTTTTCTCACATACAGAAATGGTTACATTTTCAAGAGGTAGAGTTAAATCACTTTAAGGTAATTTCTCAGGCAGAAGTAGAATACATAGCTTTTTACTCACCACTTTTTCTTTATCACAATACGAACTGAAGTAACTAGAAATAATTGCAGCATACTGAAGAAGCACTTTGTTGATAGTCTAGGAAGAGAAGAAGAATCACTTAAATGACAAATATCATCATGTAGAACAAAAATAAAATTTAGAGCAAAAAGGCAAGATTGTATAAATAGTAGATTTACAGGTGCTTACACATTGCGTATAAATTTAGATACACTGTAAACACTTTGTGGGCATGTTTTCAAATCCCTGCGTAACAGATGGTGGGTTATCCTTAATGGAATGTAATCTTCCATAGCAGCGATGCTTTACTTAAGTCATCCTGATTCTGAGGAGCACTGAGGGCACCAGTTCTTGCAGACTGCTACATACTTAACAGGAGTGAGCCCACCCGTCCTGCCACACCTATTATATCCCTCTTCCACCCTCCTATACTCTCTCTTTAATTAGAGATCCAGGAATATACATCAGAGGTGGAAATACAGCTATCTATCTCTTGTAGAACACTGAGAAGGAAAACTGGAAGGTAGGGTTGGCTTCTGAGCTCTTCATTTTTTCTCCACAAGTGCAACAGATCTTAAGTAATTTTTGGTCTTTCTCCTGAAAATACTCCCAAGAAAATCAGAGAAAAATGAGCTATTACTTTAGCTTCAGTTCAAAATAAGCGATGAAATGGCCAGACAACTTGCCTGCAAATACATGAATCCTCTGAAGTTCTAAAATAACCCAGAAGAATAAACTCTGTTACTACATGACTGACCTGCTGATGAGTAAGAACCACCACCTCAGGGCTTCAAACAACAAAGCTTTGTTGTCATGCCTTGAATTCTCGTCTCCCCTGAATTGATTTCCCTGAGTTGCTTCATTAACTAAATAGTAATCAGGCCTTAGCAAGAATAGTAAAGAACTGCATAAAAATATATAAATATGAAACCTCAGAGAGAACAAATCTTCTCAAATTGGAAGAATTCCAGTCAGAGGTAAAGGAGATTGCTTCTGAACAACATGGCCCTACTTTAGGTATAATGGCAATAAAATGTTACTTGCTCTGAAACCTGGTTAAATTGCATTGATTTTAATTTACCTTTGCAAATCTTCTCATTAAATGAGATAGTGCTTCTGGATTAGGACACTCCAGCTTCCTGATGATCTCAAAGCTTTGATTGAGCTGTGTGAAGACATCAACCACGGAGCAAGAGAAAAGGGCATGATCTGATGTTTGCTGAAACTAGACAGAGAAAACATTCAAATGAGTTAATACTTGAGAAACTGTATTCTGCGAACAGATCTGTATTAACTGAATTTCTTACACTTGAAATCCCTACTAGAGCAGGGAAAAAATACATTTAAAAAAAATCTCATACTGATAATATAGAGAACTGTGGCTTTTCACATTTATGTCATCTTTTTTTCAATCCACTAAAAAAAGAACACAAAATTCTTGCTCTTCCATGACAGCAGGACTTTTTTTTGCAACCTTGGCCACGTGTACTTCCCTTTTTGCACTTGAATGGAGACAGTAGACTTGTTCTCTGCAAGGTGAGAGTTAGATCTTAYAAGCATCAAGAGTCTAATGTCAATAGCAAAGTGTCTCCATCTTCAAGGCATCTGTGATTGTGCTTGAAAGATCTTCAGTGCAGTTGTAGGAAAATAAACTCTGATATTTGTATTTGTTGTGACTTTGGAAATTTGTGAACCTGAACTTTGATAACTCCCTTTTCTAATTTTAGAGAGACAGTTTTGCTATACATTAAATCTAATAATTTAACAAAATAATTAAGAAAATTACAAAAAATATAATTCCCTTGGTAAAAACGTTAATCTAAAAGGTCTGTTTAGATAATACGGAAACGGTATCATCTTGCATCATCACTGAAAATTAATCATCTCATAGAATAAGCAGGTTGCAAAGGACAGCATGATATAACATTAAACATCACGCAAAAAAAAAGAATCTCAAATCTAAGGGGAATATAGGCAGATGGAAAATGTTCCCAGACTTGGAATTTTTCCATAGAGTTCTCTTCCTGCAGTATGACTGATTGCATAGCTTGTGAGGTCTAATAAGGACACTGCAGGACCAGCTGCATTTCAGGTTGGTAATATTAAATCACTTAATATGCCTTTCTTTTTATTTTTATTTTTTAATAAGGACTCACCCCATCTTTTTTGTCTCTTTCTAGTGCCCCATGAAGAAACTCCATTGAGACATCCTCATTTTCATCCAGCCACTGAATGACAAATGGTTCAAACCACCTGAAAATTAAAAATATTTTTGGCCAAGTAAATTCCATAATGATACTGTGAGAAAGAGAATCCTACTCTGCAGCTAAGCTCCTTGTGTCTTCACACCTGCTCTAGTCCTTTATCTAAGTTGTTCATCCTAGATAAATTTTGCACCACAAAAGACATTGAGGCTACCAAAAGATATTTCTTTACCAAATGACAAAGTCTTGTGATAAGATTCCCAAAAGAAGTGATAATTTGGGCTGTTTGGGCAGTATTGTGTAGTGGTATAAATCTGAGAAATAATATTTTGTGGGGCATCAAATACTGCATATATTTTGTTTCAGAATGTGTCTTATATCACTAATGATACCTTTAAAAATACTATTCTTGCTTCAAAAGTATTTTTCTCTTTAACTTATTCAGGATCTTTTAAAAACAATGACAGACTCCAAGCCATCCGGGCAAATCAACAGACTTGCAGAAGACGAAGGAATGTGAATGACGACAGTTTATACCAAATCACAGGACTGAATGTGTAACTTTCAGGAAAAGAGCAGTAAATTAAAATACTAGAAGAGTATTAATACATTAAAAATCATTCTAGTAGCTCATGCAATTAACACTGTATCTTAGCCCAGATATGAAATGAATGCAGGGGCTTATAACAAATACTGCTGCTGTTTCCACATTTCCTACCTTCCTCAGGCATCTTCTGAACACTGTCTGAACGACTGTCAATTATGTGCAGCTGCTATTACAGCAGTTGAACAAAAACAGTCACATGGAGTAATTAACAGTATTTTTAACACCTGGAACAATCCATCAGATAGAATAAAGAATATAAGGGGAGGCAGTATGAATAATATATTTAAAGATTTTTTAGGACTACATAGCTTGAAATCTCACACAGACTTCAGGATAAATATGTGAGCAAAATAAACCTTCCACCAAGCCCCACCAAGCCCAGGGAGACTCCCTTGCTCACTACTTACAGAGAGTACTCAGGCACTGCATCCTTGAAAGCAGGGAGTTCTCGCACATATTCATTATAAAACCATTTCACTTTGAAGTGCAAATTCATATAATCTGTACTTTTACATAATCGCTGCTTTTCATGTTCTGTAATAAAGGAAGTTGATATGAAAGCATTTAATAACAATCTGACAGTAAATAACAACATTCTTGTACCTCAGTGCACTGGTGGTGTAATACTATGGTGCTCACATTTTAAAAGACAATTGGGTAGTATTACCTGCAGTTGCAACTTTGGGTTCTTAGTACTCTTAGGAAAACAAAACTAAACAAAAAGAGGAGCCCACAATTAGGTAAATGGGTTTTAAACTCTTCCCTGCAGTGAGGGAAACCCACAGAACAGTTAGCTCCCTGCTTTCTACCATCTTGTTTGGTTGTTACAAAATGCATAAGAAGTTGTGTTGAATTAGAGAGCAAGAACAGAGTTATGCAGAAACCAAATGATGTAACAGCTTTACGAAACATCCTTAAATAATCCAGATTTTTTAAAAACAAGGCTGTTGAATCTCAGAAAGAATATTTCAAGGAGTCTCTCAGAAAATGACTTGCAGCTACATATAAGCAGGAAGTACATCCTAAATGCCAGATATTAACCTGTGAGAAAACCAGAAAATACTTCACCTCATCTATAAAGACATTTTGTATCCACATATATTATCAGCCAAGCTTATATAAATCAACAGACAGAGAAGAATACAGACAAACATATGAATCATATAAACATTTAAACTGGATGAAATTAGATAGGCATATCTGCACATAAAATAATTAAAAAATATATTTTCTAAAGATAGGAGCACTACCTCTAGGTATTCTGAATTTATATTAAGATCCATGGATACCTTCATTTCTGATAAACTCACACAAATTAACAGGTTTGAACCACTACAAGATGTTTTTCTTTGTTTAGGATTTCTATGCATCTTTTCCTAGAAAGAAAATGAGGGCCTTTCAGATGGGTGTGATAAACATAAAAGCTCAGTGCTTAACTGCTGAATTCCCAGACCCCAGAAACATGAAGTGCTGCTGTTCCAATTTCTCTTGCTGTTTTCCTTGCACTGGAGACAGAGATACTATTTCTAGAATATCATGTGGTATTTTTCTAGCATTTTACTGTTAAAAGGAGACTGAGAAAACCTTCTTATGGTAGCAAATACAAAGAAATTGCAACACAATTGTTGGTTTTGGTCTGATAGTTATAGTGTTTTGTCAATGAAGCCATAATGATAGCTTATAGAGTAAAATTGTTTACCTGTCACTAAAGATATGACAGCATTTAGTAAACTGGAAAAAAAAATCCATTTGCTACAGCATTCTGCTTCCTTTTAAACCCTTAGATAAACCTAAGGGGGGCTTTATTTCAAGTATTTGTGATTTCTTCCTGATTATTTGATAAAAAAGAAAAAAAGTCATCTAAAACCTTTCAAAGATGACAAATATCTTATATGCAAATACAATCAATTTGATATTGACACTACCAAGAGCACATTTAGTTTGTTTCTCTTATTTCAGCATGACATTTCAGAAACCTGCTATTGCAGCCTGCAGCCCTACAACTGGGAAGCAGGTGCATGGCACAAAGGGACTATCAGCACTGCAAGAACACAAGGTCGAAAGGAAGCGCTGTGAGGAATAATGCTGACTCAGGAACTCCTGTCCCTCCCTCCGAATCACTGTGGAAACATTACAGCAGTGTGTTCCTATGGGGAACTGCTACTTTTTGGATAAAGGTAGAAGGTTAGGGTTCTTGCTAGCAACCCCAAAGCACTTTCACTGCAGTGCAGGAGCTGGCTGTGATACCGCCTTACATAGCATCTAAATCTCCCACTGTAGTTACTACTTTGCAAGTTGAACATGCAAGCTGACCAGATAGTAACAATGGATTTACTAGACCAGAGGAGATCAGTGCTCTATTTTATCACTGTGCTGTTTGTCCAGTCGTAACTAGAAAAAGCTACTTTGGGGAAACTCAGTGCCAGGCAACTAGAGGAAAACTGCCAAAACAGAATATCTTAACAGAAAGCAACCACACATGACAATTTAAATGCAGGAAATATACTGAAGAATAGATATAATCAAACCTGAATTTGCAGGGCCAAATTTGGATCTAGTATAAACAGGCAACAGAGTCAGATTCCAATATCTGCAAACCAGCTAAGCAATGTAATCTCTTAAGACAATTAAAATCTACTACATGATCATATGTTAACCAGTAAAAGATATGCACAGCATAGATCTTATTTCAACTGAACACTTTCACATTTTGAACTATTTTTAACTATTTTTAACAACTGACTAGAAACAATATATAGAGTTACCACAAACAGAAATGAACTAGATGTCCCAAMAAACTACAGATATGCAAGTGTTACTTGACAGTAACAGTTTTTAACTTCTGCAGTGCACAGCAAACATCTATTTCCATACCTTGGTAGGTTCGTTACTGATACACAAGTAGCCTAGTGGGTTTCTGGATAGTAGTATATATTGCAATTTAAAAAATTAAAAGCGTTTGGGTCTGTTCTGTTCAGCGAATTAGTAACAGAATATACAGTATTACACTTTCAGGTCAATGATTCAACTAAGGAATCAGTGTAAGCTGTTAAAATGAACTAAATCTGGTTTACTGACCTGTAAGAAAGCATTGCCTGCCTCAATTCAGTTCTAAGATACTGCATGAAACCTAGTTACATTTGGCTTTAACTGATATAGCTCTTAACATATAAATTGCCATACAGTTTCTAGAGAAAAGCCAGGTAGTGACCGGGCCATACAGACCAAGTTACAGTTTCGTAACTGGTAGCCAACCAGACACGTGCTTAGCTGTCCTGCTGCTGGGATTTGCATGACTTGCAAATATTCTGTGGAGAAAATGAGAGCCTTTGGATACACTGGTGTTATTTAAACTAAAAATATCCAGCTTTGGAACATTTTTCCTCTGAAGAAGGTGGTAGATTCCTGGGACTGGGGGATGTTCTTCCACTCCAGGAAGGCAAGGTGCTGTGTGCCAGCGGCACCATGGTGGGAACAAACAGCAAGGGGATATTTAAGTGTCTTCATAGAAAAAGGGAAAAAAACCTCCAGACTCGGTGGGTAATTAACAGATTTGAGAATAAGGAAAGCTCCAACTTTAGCACCCTGCTGCAAGGTGAGTGGTGATTCCACACACAGAGCAATTCCTGCTGTGACTCTGGCTATGGCTCAGACAGTAAGTGGATCAGTGGCACATAACTTGAGCTATACAAAATACAGCTGAGTTTTCCATAAAAAATAATGTGTTTTTCTGAGCAAACTTAAAAAACCCAGCAGTAGCCCCACAGACTTAAGCTCTCTGCTAATAAAGTGAATAGAAAAACTGAATGTGATGCCCTGGATCAGATGAAAAAAGAAGAATAATGCAAACCCAGAAAGGTAATTTGTAACTGATTTAGCATGAAGCATTTCACTCTGCAAGACTTCTCATCCCAGTGTTCTTAAACTTCGCTAAAGGCAACAGAAGTCAGTAGTTATTAACTGAAACACAGAGCAGGACACAACTAATTGATAATTAAGAATAATTTAAATGCATTTTGATCATAGAAAACACTACTGTCCTTTCTGAAAGGGCTCTTTGTGTCAAGATTAATACAATAAATGGATAACTAAAACATTTCCTTTGTCATTGCTTTGGATTGTAGTCAGTACAACTGACAAAACCAACCTTTCCCAATTGCCTCAGAAACATGCGCTTTCACAAGATATTTCTACATACTCATTCCTTCCTCTGTATTTGCTTGGAAATTTTCATCAAAGCATCAAAACATTTCACAAACTTGATGGATTATGCCTTGAACATCTCTGTGAACTAATTAAATTGTGCTATTCACATTTTAAAAATGAGGAACAGAGGTACAGGGAGACCAAGTGAATTTACCAAGGGAGTTTGGATAAATTACAATAGGCAGCATAGATCTTGCTCATAGATTTCTCAACCACACAATCTCATATCCTCTCTAACCGAAACCTGAGAAGAAAGGGAAACTGCCTCACTTTGAATTGTATTGAGGAAAAAAAAAAAAAAAGATTTACATATTCTTTTTTTTGGTCTCCTTGCCTGCATCTGAAGGTGCTGGTCAATCCCCAATTTAATGCAACGTGCTTTAAAAATTGACATGACATCGTTCTTTATTTTCAAGGAGAAGCTCTCAAAGTGACAGTTAACTTGCTCAGAGTGCTCTGCCTTCCTTCCCATTTTGCAGCAGGAAGAACATATGAGCTCAGGGCTACCTGCTTAGCACTGGAAAAGGCAGAGCTATGCCTGGCTTCAGAAGGAAACCTGCATACCACAACAACTACACAGACCAATAACAGAGTGCTGCCTCCTGATTTACATAGTTACTATCATTTRTAAAAGGAAATAAGCAGTGCTTTCAAGCATCACTGTATGTGAATTGACCACGGAAAACCTCAGCAAGTGKAAACTACGAATGCATCAGAAGAATGGTCCATCCTAACCAATACCAAGTCAAAAGCAGGGTTTAATCACTGCCATGTAAGAAAGAATATATGTTTCAAATAGTTCATACAGATATTACAACATTTATTTAAGGGAATCAACACATTCAGAAAGTAATCGATCACATAGAGTAACACTGACAGCACTGGTATTACATTGTTAGGCTTTCAGGACTCTTTAATATGCACAAAAATTGCAAAATATACAGAGAATGAAGTGATGCACTGAATAGCAGTCCTGCTTGCACAGAGTAGCCCTGACCTCTGCAGGTGTATGGAGACTGGATCTGTGCTTTTGGATGCCCCTTACTCCTTCACCCATAAAGTGAGTTGCCCCAGCAGTAGCCACCTACCCTGTCACGTACCAGGACCCTCCCTTGCTATCTATCAACATGTGCAGCCACTGTACTTCTCTGCTCCAGCTAGAGATCACTACTATGGAGATCACACTTCCTTCTCCATCTAGCAGCAGCAGCCGCCAATCTCACTATCAAAAGAATGCTGGACTATTTGTGCAAGAGCATAAAGAAGGGGAAGCAAGGCACAAGAGCGCACACTGCATCGCTCCAGAGTCTACCGGCTCCTGTTGCAAGGGGCCAAACAGCACGGCTGAGATGCAACTCTCCTCTTGCCAGCAGCAGCTGTGGAGCTGATGCAAGTTTGGCTGCTCAGGGGCCCTGGCCTGAACAGTCCATCTCACTGCAGTTAGAAAGAAAAGAGGGAGAGCAGAGCATGAATGGAGTGTTCTTCTATTGAGATTCTCTTAGTGAACAGAGTTAGGACATACTCCCTGAATTTACGCTGATGGTACTAAGGGCTGGATATTGATATATCAGGGAATGCAAGGAGGAAAGAAACAGAAATCTAGAATCTAGGTCAAGCTAAATTTATTATTCGTCACGTCAATGACCCTTTTGCAAATGATGTAGAACTACTTCATCTTTTCTTGACCAAAGGAATCAGGTTCATAGCACAAAAGGTAACATGCTGCTGCTGCTTGAGGAGATTAAGACTAAACTGCATCAGCCAAAGGTTGCAGTAACAGCCCCTGGACTATACACAGGAACAGATGGTACCTTACGTTCATAACTTGGAAGGAAGGTTGGCATAGCAGAACACAGTGCATTTTAATGAAGAACTCCATTAAAAGTGGTTGGATTGAATGTGACGCTATTTAAGGTGTTGCTCCTAATCCCACTGAATTCCAAGAGAAAACCTTTATTGGCATCAATCACTGCAGCATATTAAAATCTAATCTAATGATTTAAGGCACAGTAAAAGTGCCTTAGAAGTAGTATGTTTTTCTGTACTTTATTACTAAATTTACTGGGTTTGCCTGTCAAGGAATGAACAATCTGAAGCTAGAGAAGAATTTATATACAGTTACTATATTTTACAACTAATATCGGCTTTCTTTAGCCACTTTTTATACAAGAGAACTACTGATTTTATACAAGAGAACTACTGATTCCTGGGATTTTTAAAGTCTCTTCTTAGTGAAGCTAATATAATTAATAGTTAGTATTAATTACCTTCCAGAGCATACTTCATATCCTGGGCAAACATAGTCCACATGATTTCAGCACTGATTTTTCCCATGTTCAGCTCTTGAGGGAACCTGCAATCAATCACATTCCGTCAGTGCACCCGCTGCTATAAATTATGCTTACAGATGTGTATTAGAAAGGCAAATATTTCCACAAAGTAATAATTTCCACAAAATAACACACCTTTTGTATGTACTTTACAGTATCTTCTGTTTTGTAACATTACATGAGCTGACCAACCATAACCTAATGCTAGGGTCTTGGCTAAGCAATATGACATATATTGCATCATTTCCAAGTGATAGACTACACTGATAGTTTTACGCTTTCAGGGCACAGAAGAGGAGGAAAGCAGATSACCCAGATCAACAGAAGGAAGTACTGCACAGAAGCCCAGACCCATAAAACAACTGCATTATAATGATGCAGTGAGACCTATATGAACTAGCATTTCGCCATAAATATATAAAATCACTAAAAAACAAATTCATAAAGAAAAACAGATTCGTGTGGCTTTTGGCTTGAGTCCACTGCACCGCTTTACAAAGCAGAGAATTTGATCCAGAGTATTTTCATCTCATACTGAAAATTTAATAAAATTAAGTAAATATGCTGTAATAATTCTAACAAAAAAGGAGTAAGTTTTAAAGCTCTCCTTAATAAAGAATTATCCAATACCACATTTTGTCTGTTTGTAATGGCCATAATGCCAGACTGAATTTGATAAAAATGTATTTGCTTGACTAGAGGTACATATAGATATATACATATTTTAACTTGTGAAAGTACATGCACAATTTTCAATTACACTTTTACTATGTTTCTTAAACTACTGCACTTCATCTGACCCATTCCCATCCCAACCACAGGTTTCAGCTAAACTTACCATGTATTTCATGAATGCTTAATACCATTTAATCATCTGACTTCTATAGAATCTAATCCTAATTCAGAAAGTAAATTTATCTGCTTACTGCAATTATACAACACTGGCTTCACAACTAGCCCTTCTGTTTTCCACAAAGTAACACTATGACTCATTTTGCAGTAAGAACAACATTCACATGAGAGCAGTTTTAGGTGGCTTCCTTTAATCAAGCTAAACTTCAAGCTTTCAATACTACCTTCATGGGCTTGATGATTTATTACTGCAGCTCTGCCCAGCTTAGACAGACACGCTCAATTGTGAACGGTGCAAAACAATGCAAATGGTGACAAACATTGTTTTGACACATTAGCAATAACCAATTCATATGTGATTCATGACTTTCTTTTATTCTGTCATTCATATGAATTGTGTTGCTACAAGAAAATAAATGTTTGTTCCACTACTCTGCTTTGCATTTTTTATGCTGTTTGTCGATGTATAACAATTTCAAACCGCACAAGTATCTTCTACTGCAAAAACCATTAGCCACAAACTGCTTAACAAATCTTAATGCTTATAAAAATAATTTATGAATAAACCAAATTTGTCTACCATGATTAGAATTTCTTTTGCATAAATATTGATTATAACGGTTGAAAATAGAATTACATGGAGATATTAAAGCTATACTGTGTAGATAATCTATTTTTATATTTTTCAAATACTGCTAGTTTACAGAGATTTGGCAATGATTATAAGAGTTTAATTGATAGAGCAGTTCTTGAATKATATGAAAAGCAAAATCTAATCTTTTTTTTTTTAATTTACAACCATTTTCTGCATTTGTTAACATTAAAAACCTGGGAATAGATTTTCCCCTTGGTTTAAATTTACATAAGTAATATTTATGCATAATTGCACTTAGCTATTATTTCAATGAATAATGTACAAATTGTACAGGATTGACAGAACACATCATGCAGACAAAAGATTTGCTCTGAATATTAAAGGAAGGGAAATAAAAGCTGTATCAAGAATAGCACAGAACTATGATGGGTAGAATTGTGACTGATAAAAAAACTATGAAGACTGTATTATGGCTACTATTTAAACAACTATGTTGTCAGGAGAGCAATAATGACAGCAATACACACACATTCTCTAGGCATTCAGTAGAGGCTGCAGTGATAGTTGCTTGGATATTGTTTTTAGCTATTTTTATAGAATTATTAAACAAATTAGTGCTAAAATGGACTTCTGAAGATGATCTAGCTCAAGGTAGACAGAATTTCAAAGTCACATTAGGCTGCTCTGGATCAATTCAGCCTAGTTCTGAGCATCTCCAAACCCAACGATACCACAACCTGTCTGGGCAAAACGTTCCAGAGTTTGACAGCTCTCACTGGTGTAATGTGGAATTTCTCCCATTTACCTGATCAGATTTTTCCTGCCTGCAAATTGTGTTCATGCTTTTGCTGTACATTTCCCAGAACCATCTGGCTCTGCCTTTTCCATGTGAMAATGCATTAGGAATTTGAAGACTGAAATCAGCACTGCCCTTAGTTGCCTTTCCCTCCAGCTGAACCCTGCTACCTCAGACTGTCCTAACACATCATGTGTCACAGGGCCCTGATCACCTTGGTGGTGCTCCTCCTCCACCAGTTTTCCAGTCTGATGATGTTTATCTCATACTGGACAACCCAAATTGGAATCACCACTGMCAGTTCAGTCTCATGGGTTCAGATCAGAAGGGAGCTGTATCTCCTTCAGTCAGCAGACTATGATCTTCCCAATGTAAATCRGTATGTTATTATGCCAAATACAACTCAACGCACTAGTAGCTTAAATTATAAAGGCATTATGATCTGGTATTTTCTTAAGGTCCTTAATTGTTGAAATGGTATCTGCGTTTTGCATAGTAAAATGCTTTCAGTAACAAGGTGAAGGGTGAATAGCACAGTATTCCCTAACTCTAACCAAGATTTATCCTCAGAGATAGCTTATGCATGGGTAGTTCCATTTACTTTAATACGGTTCATCAAGTTTCTAAGCTTACTCATGTAATATTAATACATAATTTATTACTTGCATTACAGTAGCACTTAAAGAGACTTCAGATAGGTTAAAAATATTCAGGTTAAAAAAATTAATACACTACTACACAGGAACTTTAAAATATGTAATAAGAAACAATCACTGACCTTCAAAATTGACAGTCTAAGAAGAAAGGACAGAGAATGGGGAAGGGGACAGAAAAGAAGTGACCAGGCCAAGGTTCTACCATAGGCAGTCCCAGATTTATTCTGAGTCCCTTCACCTACCAAGACAGGGATTCTAATTTGTTTTAATGTGCATAGTATGTATTTGTGTGTGTGTATGCATATAAACACAGTATTTCATATACATATGTGTGTGTGTTTGCATATCAACACACTATTTTATATATAAAAATATGTATTCATATRCACACATGAATATTCAGCAAAAATGAGAAATAAGCAAGACTATAAAATTGCAGCTGATGACTTAGCATTCATTTGATGTGTACCCCTGATTATCCACAAACAGCTTGTCCCTCCTTGTTCCTTGCACTTTATTAGAGGGAAAAAAATCGTTTTTCCTCAGCCATACTTCAGTATCTCACCAAACTGAACCACTGCACTGGAAAAAAACCTCATGCCATGAATTTGTACAATAAGCAGTAATACAGTAGACTGCACAGATGAACATGACTGAGATTTTAACACGCCTGTTACTCTTCAGCACTATTCTGCTCAGAAAATATTCCTTCTAATAATATGTACATGAAATATTTTTAATGAATCAAATTTGCTTCTAAATGTCAAGAGCAGCAGTACTGTTCTTTTCAACTGTAATTCATCTTTCTGGCTAAAACTAATGAAAATGACCTGCATATGAAATAGGCATATTCACATGACAGAGGTTCACAGCAGTTACTACTGATTTATCTGCATTTGGTGTCACAACTGAAAACCAATTCTGACATATATGAAATACATATACAACACAAAATTCAACAAAATTCATCAAAGCTTAAAAATCTCATGAAGGAAAGGTCCTAAACTCCCAACCCCCACAATGTTTTGAAAATTCACAGTTAAATTCTTCACAGACTCAGGTGGTTAAACTTGTGAAGTTCTCTGGCTCTCCAATCAAATACAGAACAATTAAGGATACACTCTGCTGAGCAGATTCACCTTTCCTTAGTTTGATGCTAGGGTAGTTTCACCAGAAGATGAATGAGTGTAACGAGAAACCATCCATCACTAAAGGATTAAAATTATTTTTCAATTCCAAAAGCAAGTAGTAGACAGCCCAAAATTTCTTAGGATCATTTTCTGTTATGCACAGGATCACAGTTCAGTGCTACAGCCGATCTGGTTGTTCTAAGCAAGATGTCTGTTGTTTCTGTTATAAGGAATCAAAAATCTACATACACCCTTATGTAAAAAAATAAATGCTGAACCATATCACATTTTTCTCAWTTTAATGAAAACAAGATTATATTCCCCTGTATTTCAGTTCAGGCAAAAGAAGTGGAATTTTTCTTTTTTCTTTCTATATTATAGGCTCTATCTTAATTGTACTCCAGGAATACAATTACTAGAGTATATTCCAACTCCCCTCTCAAATTAAATTCCTTGAAAGAAAACTAAAAATAGCATTTAGATAATTAATCTTTTACTCCCCACCTTGTGGGAGGAGATTTATYGGAATGAACACAAGAGCCATGTTCATCAGAAAGACAGCACGCATACTTGAATTTCTTAATCAAGTTGGAGAAAGGGCAGTAAGCAGCCCTCATATAAGRACTACTTTGTAAAAAGGCCTGCTCCATTTTGAGGCAATCTGCTCTAAGAGGRTGATGGTGGCCATGATCTGCTCTCTTAAGTAGAGGAGCTGTAATTCTGGGAGCTATTAAGCAGCAAAGAGCAGAGGTAGCCACCTTATAGTCTTCTGTATTATGAAATTCTGAATCTAACAGCCATTTTAAACCTAGTTAATCCCAGATCACCATGGTAACTAGGTGCAATTATCTTGGGCTACACGTGCCATCCTCGTGCGCGCTGCCAATTCTGGGATCTGAGAASTACGCATAGCAGAAAAATTCTTTTTCTTTATGGTATGGGAACACACACTAAGATTTGGGCTTTCTGTACTTGTAGAGTCAATCTTCTCTCTTTCCTTGTGCCTAAGCAGTTAGTAAAATATGTAAAGTGTCATTTGTACACTTTAATTTAGTGTTTATGGACTACTGAACATCTATCTCTATCTAAAAACACTAGATGTTTCTGATGTTCCTTTCCAAAATTTATGTTGGATTCCCTGTTTCCAATAATCAGAGATTTATGGATATTACTGAATAGTATTACTATTACTGTTACAAGGTTACTACCTATGAGCAGCTAAAAATGCTTACCATACAACGGAAAAAAAGAAAAGAAAGCTGAATATAAAGGATAACAACAGCAGTCAACTTGTTAAAGGGAAATGATAACGAAGGATAAATTCTAAAGCATTTATATAATACATGGATTTCTATATTGTTTGCACCTTATCACCTAAGTAAAAATAATTGATTCAACAAAGAATTTCAAAATTGGATCCCTAAGAAACGACATGTCAGAACAATTTTACCATACAACATGATTTATATTAGGTTTTCTAATCCTTGTGAAAGCCAGACATTTTGATGTTTCTCAGGGAAGCAAGAGGACAACCAGGAAAGTGCTCTGTGAGTCATTTTGTTTCCTCTTGTTACAATTACTTCTGTCTCATGGGACATAATTTCCCCAATTTCTCTGTCACTCTTAGAGCAATACTGTAAAATCTGGGCTTATCCAAAACACTACTGTCAAAACCATCTTTTTCACTTGCGTGACAGTGTCTAATCCTCAACTTGTAAGTCGACCATGCAATGCTATTTGGTAGAACTTAATAAAGAGAATACGCTGGGTTTTCATAGGAAATTAACTCTTCTGTTTCTGCTACATGATCATCTCTGCATCTCCACAGATAGTAAATTGCACATAAAAGGTAACCAYTTACAAATTTCTTCCCTCTATTGATTTTAATCAAGCAGGAATGTAACGAAACTGTTTGCACTGCCTAGCGCTAACAAAGGACTATGTATAAATACACTGATCAATGGAATGCAATCAAACCCAGCTTAGAAGAATGCAAGAATCGATGTATGAAGCAGAACATAAATAAGAAAAAAGCATTTACTTTAAATTGTACTGCACATCTCCAGGCCAGTTCTAAGCAAATTAAGACATTCCTATCATGGCGATTAAAGATGTTTCTCTACAGTTTGTGCTGTCAAACACGCACAYGGCTGTTTCAAGCGTCTTGGTGTCCCTGAACACTGCGTGTCCTTATGCCCTCTGGGGGGTGTGCAGTCTCAGTCAGGGTGCTAAAGAAGGTCTGCTCCTGCTGGCTAAATACACTAACTCTGCTGTGTGTGTGCACACTACCTGTGGGGCATATTAACACTATACACTAATATGATGTTTTTCTCTGCCTTATCTCTCTATACATTTATTTCTCTTGCACAGTAYCTTGCAATGCAACCTTCTGGGACAGTCATGTAACATGTATCTTTACTGTTCCAAACCCAATGTGCTCAACGATTAGAGCTCTATGTCTTTATCACACTATGTGACTTCTGCAGTCCRTATTTAACAGCAACAGATTACATTTAAAGCAAAATTACTGTCTTTGGTGTATTCCCTGTCCTTGCTTTAACAAATCCATGATTCTTATTTTTTTTTAAGAGAAAAGTAATTACTTACTGATTCAAGACAGGTGTATATGCTGTTTTTTCTTCATCAATGATGGTGACCATTAGGGTAATAAGTTGTGCCCAAAAATCCAAGTTCTTTGTTGTTGGTCCCTGTTCTTCTCGAGGAACTTCTTGTTTCTTACCCTGTTAAAACAAAATGTAATACATTTTAGGTTAAATAAATCACAGAAAATATTTTCATTATGTGATTTCCACCTATGGATTAATGGTTAGTTGGGAAATCTAAGGCATTAAAAGTTTTCAGAAATTTTGCACAAAAACTATCTCCAGTCGATTCAACTCAGAGTGAATGTATTAAAGTCCATTTCTGACTCTGGAGAAAATCAAAAACACACAGTTCAAAGACACTGAGTTCAGCAAAGATCATATCTGACTTTTAGTCCATGCCCACACTTTAATTATATACATATATACATTCTTAAATTATTTGTTGTTTTGAAACTGAATAGAAGTTTTGAATGCAAGTTGTTTTGAAACTGGAAAAAAAATGCCTGCAGAGAAAGAAGTTCCAGGAAAAGGGACCTACGAATTTATAAAAGAGAGGTTGAGGAGCGTAGTGCTTGGAAGGATTTTAAAGCTGTGAGCAATACCATAGTTTTTCATCCAATTCCTTTTGTATTCAGGAAAATGGGATATTGTATGTGTAAATAAAAAGAACTGCAATCAAATCCACATCCTAAGCACACAGAACCTGAAAAACTTCCTTGAATTTTGTAATAAAAAGGATTCACAAAGAAGGACACTAATGTATCAGTGGATTACCAACATGACTCTCTTGTGATTAATTGAAATATGCTAAGTAATGCAGTGTTTTGAAATCTCCTTGCCTGAAAGCCTGTATTTTGAGCCTTTTTATATTGTTACAAGTACATMTTTATATTCACTACTTACAGACTTTTGTTGATAAGCATTTCTGTACTTCTTTTTTTTCTGGCTGAGAAGTATTTCTGTACTTTTTGACCTAATCAAACTGTACATTTCAAACCATACTTTTCCTCTATTGTTTGGTTTTATGAATGTATGAATTATGTATGAATTTATGTAATTTCTGAACTTTAATTTCTGAAACAAAAATATATTTCACTTTGTGGCTTAAAAGAAGGATCAGATTCCTATCAAGGTCTAATAAGTAACAACTCTGTAAAACAAGCCAAATAAAATGAAAAAACAGGTATATGTATGCCCGTATGAACACACRCATACAATTTATGCCATGCTCGTGTACATCTGCCCATGCTAGGTCTCTTTCGCACAATAGACAAGGAGGTAGTTTTTTCTCCTAGATCAGCAGCTGACTCAACTCAAAGAAAACAAGCATGCCTATTATCCTGAAAGGTTAAATATATATACCATGTCTTTCCTATTTTTAAGTCCAAATGTGGCCACTTGAACAATGCTGTATCTTTTCAAAGTCCTTTGTTATTCTTATAGTGAATTAATTACATGCCATCTTAACCTCAATTAACTTTAATCTATTAAGAGAGTTTAAGAAAGCAGAAAGGGAAATTCAACAAGACTTAAGTTAAATTGTTTTGTGGTCACTGCAGAATATTTTAGAAARCTATCATTAATCATTGTGTTTTATATCATAGCTGAACTACAAAAGCTACAGCTTCAATGTCTAAAGTGACTGAAACAAAGGTTAGATTCAGAAGAAACTATAACAGATGGTGTGACTAATATCACAGGCAATTTACAATCACCATTCAAACAAGAAAGCTTTTCAAAACAGAAACGGGTTATCTGAGCATTAACATCACTCACAAGGGCTTTCCATAGTGYGTATTATCAAAATACTTTGTTTCTATAACAAAGAAAATCTATTCCTAACATGATTTTTTTCCTCATCAGCTAGTGCCAGATTCATCCAACCTATCTGAAATGCTGTTGTAGAAAACAGAGCCAGTGTACACTTAGCAAGTGCAGTCTAAAACCTTTTCCATGGGCTGAATTTTCTTCCAAAAGCCAAGAGCTAAGCAGCACACCACTAGCACATRAAGTATTTCCTCAGAGAATAGCAAGGCACAAATGTTTGGTTAGGATGTAGATCCATTTTTATTTCTTCTTACTCTGAYATCAATACCACCTGCCTGGGTGCAACTTTGGTAAAGACAATCCCATGATTTTGGACAGTAATCTGCAGGGAGACCATATCTGAGGAAAAGCTCAAGATTTGGCTAGTTTTACTGCACATCCTCCTTTTTTTTCTTTTTCTTTTTTTTTTTTTTTTGAAGATAAGTTAAAATTATTCTTTCAATTTAAAATCCAGACAGTTGGAGAGATTTTGTACAATCTTTGCAAAGAAGTCTCCAGGCAGACATGAGGCTTTAAAAAAGTAGAAGTGCAGATTAGAAATCGGAGGGCATTCAGAAGTCATTTGTGTGCACAGTTCCACCACACAAGTGACCAAATACCAGTGGAARGAAAAGTGTAGATTTTCCACTAAAATTCAGAAAATCATATTTTCTGTATAAAGAATGGTWGAATGGAAGCTAACTGGAAGCTGAGGCTGGAGCTCTCATTACTGCAAGGCTACTGAATAAAATTATATAGACAAGAAGCCATGGACTATGAAAAGCTACTTCTAGTGGTACAACAGTGTTTTTAAACAGAGAGATAATTTATTTGGGAGACGCTAAGAATGACTATGTATATAAATGACATGGGGTATACATGACATGCACTGTATGTATAGCATTTAAGACCATTACTCATTAATATGACATTTACATGTGTATATACACACACACACCATTAGTATATTTATATACATACTTACACAAACAGGCTTACACATATACACATACATACACGCATGTATGTGTCTAGGTATGTAAGTACATATAAAGAATAGAAACTGAATCTTCTACCATATATTTACAAGCTACTTGCAATCACTCAAAATACAGCCAGAATGTGTGAATTTTAGAATTATTAGCCTTTCTCTTCTCTGTTAGTGCACTAGAGTGAAATTAGAATAAAATATTAAGCTATGACCTGAGTATCACAAAAGGAGCCTTTCTACCTTTTCCACCTTCTGCTGCACTCAGTTTCCCAATGTATCTACTTTTGATCAAAATAAGAAACAGGATATGATTGTGTGAGAACAGCCATACGACCTCAATCAAAAGATTTGATTCTTTTCAAATGGCTGTTTGTTGTATGGCTGTTCTCACACTCATCCTTGTAAGGATCTGGATAACAAGATGAGATTACTTGTTGACTTCTTCTTATGCCCTTTCCAACTGCAAGGTTGAAGTTGGACAACTTTTGTTACTTCTTCCTTTCTCTGATCTCTGCTGCCACTACATGCACTGGACTTGTCATCTTGGACAAGTTTCTGACAAGCAATTTCATCTATAAGAATTAGTCTTTACAGGGTAGAGGAGCCTCAGAACTGGGTTCTAAAAATCACAGGGGAAAAAAGTGTACTGTTCTAATACGTTTTATCAAAGATTTTTTTATTATTCTGGCTAACACAGTCCATCATACAAACTACTATAACCTAAGGAGAGGTCTGGAAGTCCCCTTTGCCTGTTAGCTCTGAAGAAAAGTTAAGAAGCTTTTCAATAGATCTAAAGCAATTTGTAAATATAGTAAAGTTCCCCATAACAATGATTATTTGATACTGAAATTTCCATGCCTGAAAAACAGGACTCCCTGAGGTAGACAGCTCTCACTACTGCACAACTTTATTCCCTGTTTCATAATTTTAATGTGTTGTGTTATAATAATATTTCAGAGAAAAACAATCACCTGCAAAGCTTATTGCTTCAAAAGCTATGCTGTTGCTGCAGAATGCTTCCATTTCTCATGCTTCACCTCCAGATTTAATACCATCCATTTGGGGTGATACATTGTGGCAAGGTATTTGCTTTCTAACTGTGATCGTCTTTATGATGGGCAGGAATAAAAGATGTTGACAACAGTAGTGGTTACTGCCTCACTATCGTAACTATGATACCACCTAAACCAGTCTGCAGCATATCTGGATTCATTGGTAAACTTGCACAGCTATAGACACCAACAGACCATTAGGGCAAATGCAAGCGCAAATGCATTAAAAAAATAAAAAAAAACACAGAAGACAACCTCTATGCAATCCTAGAGCTGGTGCAGAATCCAGGTAGTAATTTGAATGATCTTACTCATCTCTCTATTAGAGTCATTAAATTAGATTCCTGAGAACTGCCTCCCACCAACTGTGAAATAGAAACTTTTCCTATCAGTTATTAAGATTATAATTGATTATTATTTGAATACAATTAGCATTGAGTTATTTTGATTATGGTCTATTTATGCTAATTCAAGAGTTTGCTTTCTGGTTTNCTTGCTAGTGTTCATAAATCCATAACTTGTAAACATTTGCTTGGTTAAAATTCCTAAATGCAAATTTATCTGTTGGAGTATTTGCTGAAAGATAACAGAAGAGATGAGTAAATACAGAGGTGCTGCAGTTATTTCAATTTTCCAGTTGAGTGAATATTCATGGAAACTTTTTGAGATTTCACACTGTTCTATCGTAAGTACAAGGACATGAAAATAACTGTGTAATATATAAATAAAGACACCTTGTCCATCCTTCTGGTTCAAAACTCTRTTTTGGAGATAGGTGTCATTTTAAACTTGTTTTACACTCTCTCCCAGAGAAGAAAGACTACAATATCCCTTCATTTTAATCCATCTATCAAAATGGAAGCTAATCCATTTTTCCAATACAGAGAAAAAAAACGTTAAAAAGCAAGCAAGCCTGCACAGGTACCATAATACTATGCATAAGTGAGATTACCCAAAATGAGCTTTGATTAAAACACATCTGCTGATAAACTCTGCAGACTTAAACAATATCCAATCTAGCAGGAATCTGTATTATCTAACAGAAAAGGACTAATATTATATTGCAGAGGCGATGTTAGCAAGAAAACAGGACTGTTTATGATAKCAAATACTGTATACGGAGCTCTCAAGCTGCTCATTCTACAAATTCATACTTCTGAGTAGTTTGCAAAATACCTGTTGGAGAATACGAGCATGTATATGAGCACTCAAAAGTGCTTCTTGATTAGTTTAGGGTTAAAGCTGCTGGGGAAGTGAGCACCGTGTTACCTGCAGTCATCTGAGTAAAAGTGCACTGGATACAATTAAACAAATAATCACCTCTCCTCTCTACCGAGATTTACCAGTCTAATGCTCTCAAACTAAACACATTCTCAAGGAAGGACAACAAGCAAAGGACAGTCCTCCTTTGAAAGGTAAGGGCCAACACTACTTGAAAAACAACCATTTTAAAACTACGAATCTATTAACGTAAAAGGACAGAAAATGGCATCTCAGAGAGAAAAGAGAGATGAGATTTGAGAAGTATAATGAGCAATGAAAATGCATTTGGCGATGTGGGTAGCTCTACATACCCATCCACCCTTTCAAAGTTAAAGCTAATGGTAACTTATGCTTAACAAACCTGTACCTATTTCAGTTTTTTTCAGAAGTGTCAAAATATCCTCACCTACCATTCCTAGTCTTTCTTTACACAACCCACTCTCTCTCCTCCTAACTCTTGTTCATTATTCTTCTGAAGAAAATAAAATAAATATAAGGTATCTCAGTCCAAGTAATTCTGGGGTAAAACTTGTTTCTACAGATTATTCATCAACCCTAAGTATCACAAAAAAGGAGATTAACAAATGCAGAACTGAGGAGAGATTAAGTGCTACAGCATACATGTCGAAGTATCTCCCTGTAAATGGTGTGGTGTACCTGCTAATATTCATCACTCCATTACTTTCCAAACTTATCCTGAATCTCAGAAAATGCATTTTCATCTACAGTGAAACTAATCCCTATGTCACATTACTGGTGTCTGATTTTGCACAAGAGTTGGAAAGAATGTAGGTTGCAGGAAGAGACTGCTTAAGTACTGACATTGCTCTTCCTGTCCTGTGTATGGTATTTCTGAAGGACAAAACAGAACCCCCAGATTCTGAGTTTCAGTGTTCTGACTTTCACACACCATCTATATAGTACTGCATAGTGATACTCTTTACTCTGACCCAAGCATTTCGACAAACTCTTGGCCTCCCTTTTGCTCTGATGAGAAATAAAAACAAGTGTTGAAAACGCTTTTTTTTTTTTTAAACAAGGTGGAACCATTATTATCTGGCCACTGAGTGACTACTCTGATGTGCTATATTGATATTTTTGCCTTTCTGTGAATTCTGAAAACTCTAGCTRGAAGTTGTAGCTTCTTTTTTAGTTAATATATTTGTTCTCACAGGTATTACATGTAGAATACAAATATGATAACAATCTACTGCTGGAATTTCATGATGAAATTCATCATTTCAGTTTTTGTAACCTTCTGTGAGTTTATTTACTGTATGTTGCTTTTTTTTTTTTTTTTAAACATAAAAATAACTGGAGTGTTTTAGTATAAAGCAACACCAGGATGGTTTGTATTTTCTTACCGTAAACTAACAACAATGAATGAGGAACAGCTTGCTCATGAATAAGCAATGAACAAACTCCACATTAACCACATTAACCTTACCTGATCCATTAGCTGGGAGTAGAGGTCATAGCAATTGTCAAAAATGTATTTGTAAGTTGAGTCCAAACAGGCTCTAACACAATCTTTCACCACAGTACTGGCTCGAGGTGGGCTCTGCAACTCAAGAACCTAATAAAATATTTCACAAAAATCACAAAACGTGAGAATTTCAGAATTAGATGAAACAAATAAATGCAAGTATTATAATGAATACAGTTCTCTAATATAAGATGAAAAGTAATGAAATATAGTAATGATAAAACTAACATTTATATTATGTTGACTTAAGGCTATCTTAGTTTAGAGGTGATCAAAACACAAGCAGAAGTTAATATGAAGTTGTATCACTGAATTTTACCAGAATTATTAACATGATGGAGGCACAAATGCTTTCCCTTCTCACTTTTCAAAGTAAAAACTTCAGCTTTTTGCTCCAGTATGAGATACAATATTTTGGACTTCACCTTAATGAATCATTTTAATTCTCACTATACAGTGCTTAATACACTGCAATCACAAATAACTGAGGTAAACCTCAATCGTGTTTCCTTATTCTAATCCAATAATATTAATTTGTACTAACTGTACTAATTTCCACTCTAAAAATACTTCAGATCTTGACCATCCAGATATCAACATTTCAAATGGCTAAAGCAAGGGTAGTATGCAGTGTATTTCAGCAGACTTAATTTTGCTGTTTGACACATAATACTATGAAACTATTACAAAAACATTCTATATGACACACGTTTCAACCAAAGTGGTCCAACCAATTTCACTTTACATGTCTTGAAGTAATATTAATTAAATAGGCAAATTTCTTGTTGCATTCAGAAGTGGTAAAACCAAAAAAAGGAGAAGACATTTGCTTATTTCTCAAAAAACAAGTTTCAGCTAACTGAGAGATTCAAAACTAAAGTGGATGAACTGCATTTAGAAACTAGATTAGTAAAGACATTCCTTAATCTTACTGGAAAATAAATAAATCCAGCATTTTTTCAATAGACTTTATGCAAATAAAGTACAATACCTTCATTCGAAAAAATGTGATGCTGGTTAGTAGGTCTACAGTTGATTTCAGATCTTGAAGTCTTTCAGAATTGCTGGCAGGAAAATTATCCTAGTGATTCAGGAAGAGAGAAATCATGTGAAAGGGGAGTTAAAGGTAAGATCCTTGAACAGCTAGGGAAAAAAACCTCCAGGAAAACAAAGATGCTGCTTGGAAGTATTAGAATGTTAACTGTTGCCTCAACTCTGCTCACAAGGAAGTCATTAATAAATGTCCCTTTGACATGAATGAGAGCACTTCTGATTATCCTACTGTCTCTGACTGCAGTGTGAACGATTTAAAATACTGTGTAATGAAGTAAAAATAATGCAAAAAAAAAAAAAACAGGAAGACTGATAGGAAGTGATGGTTTCTAAATASCATTGTACTAACAAAAAAGCAGCCAAATAAACTCACGCTCCAAAAAAGCTGTATAACATCTTTTGAAATTCRAAGAATCTAGAGTGAACACATCTGCTTCATGAAGACTTTCGTCTTAAAAAATATGCACTTTTTACTACCTTACAGACCTTAAATGTTCCTTCCCTTCTTCAGTTTTAGACAGCAGGCTGGATGAATAGGTAAATCCCTGCACTGGAGGCTGCCAAGCCTGGAAGCTGAGAGAGAGCCCTCACCAATGAGTACACCTGAAGATCCMCAGAATTTTCATGACAGAGAGGGAGGTGAGAATGATATTGACAGGCAACTCACAGGTATGCAGTGCATGCTTCTTCCCAGAAAAGCTGGTTTTGGAGCATATCTCAGTGAAAAGAACCACTATAGACAGAAATGAAACTAGAATTCCTAACACTGAAACAATTCTCTTTCCAAATTCCTAGGATCATAGCATAGAGGCCTCAGCAAAGATGTCATCCTCTCAAACTAAGTGCATCAGGAAATGTGATTTGAAMTATATAAATCAGTGAAGGTAATTCCCACGTGGATTAACTTAATCAAATTGTGGATTAATAAAATCAACAGCCTTCAATTCTATGWCTTTTCTTCAATATTTGGCCATCCTTTTGTGTGTTTTTAGCTGTTAGCTTTTGAAAAGAAAGGGATTATTTGTTCAAAATGGAAAATCATTGTTTTTAAAATGCTTAAATCCTAAAGCTTTTGTTCCCAAGGATTTGAGATCTCCTGTTAGCACCCAGTACTTTCATCTTCTATACCATAAGAGGGATTAATCTTTCAAACTAYGTTAAGCAGACAGAGCACACACGCATGTTTACCCACACAAACACAAAAAGATCAGGAGATCTAGGTAGAATATTTTGGACATACCCTGTATTTAGATAAGTCAATCCTCAAAGAATTGTGCAATTGATCCAGCAGTTTTATAAATTTTTCCCTCTGTAAAGAGTAAACAAGAAAGTTGCGTAAGAACTGCCAAGTTCCTGTAACTGAGAGCATAACCATAGCTCACATATACAGCATGTTAAAATATGTTACCATAACTTATTAAAAAGTTTTTACTTTTATATATAAAAATATATATAAAAAGTTATTACATTTATATATTTGGCTTCTATTGTCTACACTCAGAAAAAAACCCACTTTCTCTTGTCTTTAAAATTTAAGAATCATTGTTCTCTTGGAAYACAATTTGATATAAAAGTATGTGATTGAAAACAAAATTATAAAAAATGGCTCTGTGAAAATAAGGCAAAAAATTATACATACATTATACTACATAATTATAGTTTTCCCTTTGAAATGTAGAGATGAACTTGTTATCTTGATGAAAATATTTTGCTGTGAGATACCCAGGTGAGCTASGCCATTCCCAACACTAATTAGAGTTTCTAAATACCAATCTTCATCTTCAAACATACTCTACAGCTCACTGCACAAAACGTGCAGAAATCGTTGCCAGCCTACGTGAAAGGAGAAGACTGTCAGAAGTAGCAAGATCTGAGTCTCTCAAAACGTGTGATTTTATCCACATCATTCCTGAAATAAGATATGAACTAAAATAGGAGTACTTTCTGCACTGGCTGTTATCCACTGTGGAACACTAACTTACACCTTAACTTTGGCACAGTTTCCTTAAGGGAAGAATAAAAACAGAATTTGCTTGTCATATTATCAATCTGTACTGAAATACTCAGTCAGACAAATACAGCTGCAATGGAAACACATGAAATTCAAACATTCTTTTTGATGAATGGTGGTGGCTATCCACCAATAAATGTCATTTGACCCAAAAGAGAAAAATAATCTAATATTTTGCTTGTAAGTCAATTGTTTGGGGGCAGGGAGCGAGAAGGAAGAGCCTCAAATCTCTACTAGTGATGCTTACTACTGTCTTTTTATCCATCTGTTGAACTATGAATTGGATTGGAATTTGCGTCAAAAGAAAACTGGCATTAACATCAGAGAGAGGACATAATCTCCCTCCAATCTGAGGATAAAGGAAAATAATTCTGATCATTATCAAAATGGAAACAAAGAACAGAAAATCCAGTAAAAACATTCTGAATTTCAAAAGCTGGATCAAATCCACTAAGTCATGAATGTTATGAGCAGTCTCACTTTAACAAAGATACAGAACCATTTCATAATAAATCATGAATTAGCTTGCGAAATTGAACCTCAGTAAGTTCAGAGCAGTATTCCATTATCACTGTAATATTGTAATTAAATCATAACTAGTCTAATTGGGCTTTTCATTTATAAAACCTTTTCACTTTATAGTAAGGGGGTAGCATTACTATTTCTCTTTCAAGGGAAAACTCTAGCACCARGGGTCCCAGTTCAAAAACCTGTTGTCTCCAAATTAAAACCAAGGTCTGGTCTCTTTTACATGTAAGTGCTTCTAGCAGAATTAAAGAATACATAGACATCTAAAATAATATTTTTCTAGAAAAAAAAATACTGAAGGAACCTAGAATTCATGACTTAAATAATGGAAGACATTTTGCAAAGTTATGACGTCTCCAAAATCCAAAAATATATTTCTGTTAGCACCACATTGAGAGCATTTAGAATTCTTCATAACAGTAAGCGTTGCATCAAACAGTAAGAACACTCAGGATTCGGCAATAATGAAAACAAAACCTTTGGTATTATAGTATTATTACTACACAAGATGAGTGTTATAGAAAACAAGATTTATCTCACAGATGGTTCTGGATGAAATACAAATTAATAGTTCCTGTGGATCCTGTTGCAAAAAAAAAGCTATCAATGAGGGTAAGGATGGAAAAAGCTAAAAAAGCAGAGAGGAAGGGATGACAATGAGAGACACTCAGTTATATCAGGGACTCTTCCCTCCACTGGTGCAAGCTACGTTGCCACCTGGGCTACTCTTTGCTACACAGAGATCATGCAAGGTGGCTGAGGGCCCTCTGCCATTCTCCCAGTAATATGATCACTTCCATGGTCATTGGAACTAGAGAGTGAACGCGGTCACAACCAGAGATCACTCAAGGCCAGTCTGGGAGAAGAAACGAAGATCTCACAGCTCATAATCTGAGCAAGGATAATGGTAAGCCCTACAAGCAGAAGTAATGTGGGACAAGCGGGCAATTCAGAGGTTGTTACAAAAGCATCACCTCCATTTTTCTGTAGGTTTTCTAGAGGCTTTTATCAGTCAAAGGCAGTTGGGAGTACACAGGGAAAGACCACCTCTTTCTGAGGCAAGCTTGTCAATACACTTGTCACTGAATAGTGGAAGGTATTACATGTCCACACAGATGGAAAACAGACAAAAAATAGGGTCTATAACATGCTGGCCTTTTGTTCAACATTTCTGAGATATAAATCCAGGACTTGGACAAAGTATCTGCTATTTCATAAAAAAAAAAAAAAGGACCATTGTTATATACAAGTTATTGTCTGCAAATATTTACAGAGAGATCTATTAAATTAGTGCGAGTTTACTGATGACACCTTTGCAAGCCCACACAACCTAAGAAAACAAATGCAAYCTTTAGACAGTACAGTGTAGTTAGTCTGTAAGCCCCGTGACAACAAAAATCAAAAGTTGGTATATTATGCAGGCTAGTGTATTCCACCACATACATCCTACATACCACTAAAAAAAGGAGCTGAAGGGAATATTAACATCTTCAGTCTTTACACTGATTGATTGAAAAGACTCGGAATAAATTTTCAAAAGCTAAAAACATTCAACAATAACTCATTCTTTAAAATTACCTATTTTAAAATTGAACTTTGAATTTAWTATTGCATCATATATTAGAAAATGAAGAGCAAGACTAGTATTCTATTGAAAAGCAAGTCTACTTACCCCAAAATTAGTAGCAGCAAACCGATCTGAGGCAGATACATTGGTTGTAGCTGTAGTATGTGCATAGAAAGCATTTATGTTGGCCAACAATGTACTCATAACTGCTGGCACACCAGGGCACATATATTTAGAAGACAGACAAGAAAAGTGCCTACAATTCAAGCAAATTAACAGTTATTAAAGGTAAGAGAGATTCTGCACATTCTCTCATGACAGTTTCTTTTCAGCTCCAGTGGTGCAGACGTCAAGCACCCTCAAAGACAATTGTTCAGACATACATGACAAGAGTCCAGACATATTTGACAAAATTGCCAGAGGTGTTTTTCATTTGAACAYACTAGACTGACATTTCCTTCTTATTCAACTAATTCTGAAAATAAAAATATGATTTGAATATCTTGTTATTAAACAATATATTAATTATTAAACATAAACTTAGATTAAAACACGAGCATGTCACCATAACAGGCCACAAGAGAGCCATACTCTGGTAGAAAAGTATTTAATCTATAATGTTAAAAGGGCTCAAATCAGAATCTGCTGTAGTTTGTATTTTAGGTTACTTTATAACTGGAAGATCAAGTCACCTTTGATTTTACCTGGGTCAGACTTTGACCATGGCTAAAGGTATTCCACTGTGGTTAAGTAAAGGTTAGTTAAGAAGTCTGTTAAACTCCAAACTAAACTCTGAACTCCAAAATAACATTGAAAATGTTACTTTTAAAGAAAAGGGCATCTATTACTGGACAGGTTTGTGGCTTTAAGAGAAGACTGATTTTACCTTCATCTCCTATTCAGTACAAACAGATTTACGTTCCCCCACGAGCCTCAAGTCTCTGTCCAGGTCTCTGTACCTGGAACATCTGGGTCCTGGAGAAAAGTTACAGCACTGACATTCCTGTGGCATGGGYCTGAAGTGAACGGGGAGTTAAAGCCACACTTTACCTATAGACTGCTGTGTGCACACAGCATTGAAACAGGGGCAGGAATGTATTTATGCAGTGGGGTAGACTACTGAACAGCTTCTGAGGACTGAGGCTGTCAGCAGCAGTAGGAGAAGGATAAAAGATCAGATAAGCCTTCAACTCCCAGTTCCTAGGCCTTCTCTAACATTATATTCTCTTTCAAGTATTTTCATGCTGGGCTTATACACCACAAAGGCTTGTTCTGGTGTGGCGAGGATATGCATTGATGCTTAAAGCTTGAATCATGTCACTTGGGCTCAAAGTGCTTTGTAAACTTGTTAGGAAGATGCTTCAGCATATGTCGCATATGTTTCCTATGACCTGGAAAAACTAAATAGCTCCTGTCTATAAAATAAAATCAGTTGATTTTCACCAGTTTCAGTTAATCTTCAAAGTTAACAGAAATCTCAGCTGGTTCTTCACATGCATGTTGAGAAATGTACACGAAGATGACAATTATTCTGAAAAATATTAACATCCAAGGTATTTAAAATATCATTTTATGGTTGACCTAGAATTATTGCCCAAAATACTCAAGTGGGTCTGCGGATCTTTACTGCAGAGGGAATGTTCAGCTCGAGGTAAGAAGAAACAAGTAACCAGTGACCATTAGAGTTCTATTTTCAACATATGCTCTGCTCTGTTGAGGGAAGAAGAGTCAGACRAAAGGGGCTTTAGCTGCAGTTGCTATGAGAGAAGCCACTGAGGTAGTATTAGTCATCCACAACAAAAACTGTCAGACGCTGGAAAAAATAGTTCGGATCTACATTTTAAGTTCAGTGAGATGTCTTCTGCTCATTCTTCTTAGTCACAGAGAGCTACCCAAGGACTGGACGACACTCCTGAGTCGATCACAAACCAAATTGGGGAAGGTTATGTGGAAAGGACTAATCCTGCCAAATGGTGCCCATTTTCATGCGCTGTGATCAATCATGGGGTGACTTTTATCGAGATCGTGGGACACTCTTGATTTTAACAAGACTGACAAGAATGCCTACATTCTTTCTAGCACGCTTCACCTCTATTTCTTATTTTGTGCAGGCTGTCCCCGAGCTGCAAGATTATTATAAAACAATTCTGCAGCTGCTGAGCAAATTTTCAAAGACTCGCTTTCAAATCCAGACACTCAAGTTTATCCTATTGAGCTGTATTTTAGAATATCTGTTCTGTCATTGCTCATGACAGTTGAGTTTCCTAAGAAATCAGAGCAAACAGATATTAAGATCCTGCATTGTAAAAAAAACCCCAACCAACCAAAATAATCACCAACAAAAATCTATTATGACTTACACTTGAGATAGCGATTACTAATTAAGCACAATGTGAATGACAAAATTTCCTCTTTCCTTTAGTTTTCTGTCATTCTGAATCATAAGCCAGTTTAAAATTATGACAGTACATTTTGTGAAGTGCATTCTAATGTTAATCAGAGCCCTGTAAATGGCTGAAGCTTTCCATCTGGGTCAGGATATAGACACTAGAACTACGTCTCATTTTTATCTTGGGAAAAACAGGATTATACTTCTGAAAATATAATTTCTATGCACTGAAGGAATAGATATAGTAAATATTAATTTGAGAGTCCTGATCATCAAGAGTTTAACAAAAAGATCATAAATAACAAAGCCACCAGTACAAACTTGAAATGATAGATGAGTAAGATTATTMATTATCACAGCAGAGCAGAGCACCAAATTGTTCTAGGCAATGCTGCTGCCTTGAACTTGTTTAATTTTAGGTTGCATTCAGAAATGCAGAACGACATATACCCCTAACTCTGGTACATGCTACCTACCCATACCAAGACAGGGTAAGCCTATTTACCAGTAAATTATTATACAAATAATAAAATTATATGAATATTATTAGATTAGTAGACAATATTATGCAATATTATACTGTATATACAAATTATTATAAATCAGGTGTTTTAAAACTGCCAAGAGATATGAGTTCTGCAATCAGAACAAAGAACAGCTCATTAATGAAACTCAAAAACTCACACAACCTTAAGACAGTGTACAAGCAGCATGTGGAAGCTCCCTGGGCAACTGTCTATGAAGGGACATTTTAATTTACAATTTTAACATGAGATATGGAATAGAAATGTTCTGAATCTATCTATTTGCTTACACAGTGTTCCTCTGGGCCAAATGACTACRTTCAAATTCTCTCTGTTCTGTTAGAAAAGTAATTTTCACAGGAAGACGTCTTTACTGCAAGGGATCTAATCATTCAATTTTCCAGATCAAAAAGCTGTAAATTTTCTCCTAACTCTTAAAAAGGTGTTCCAGGAAAATGACTTGATTTCATAAACAATAATAGAACCAACTGATAAGAGTCAAAGAGAAAACTCCTCGTGACAGATCTGTAGTGTGTTCACTACTCCTCTTTCTATAGTCTGAGTGCACTTAAGAGACAGGTCTGCAGTTGAATTAGCAAAACAAGATATACCAAATTCCTTTCTTCTACAAATTTAAGATCATATTTGCTCTGGATTTTTATTTTCAGATAACATAAATAAAAGTGGCTTATCCTTTAAATCAGGATTGCTCATTACCAACACTTTAAAATACAAATGGATATGAGTATGGGGACAATGAAATCTTAGCCTTGGTTTCCTGTGTGAATTACTTGTGACCACCAATATCAAATTCACTTTCCTACTACACTTGACTTCAATTTGTAGTCACCAACAATATGGGAATTTCGAGTAAAAGCTATAGAAGAAAACCAAGAACAAGACAAACCATTTTGTTTAAAATTAAATTAGAAAAAAAATAATAAAAAAAGATTTTTTGAGTATAGTTTCATGAAAAATGTTTTGATATATTTAGCAAGTAATATGTGAGATTTTCAGACTAGATTTGTTTTGTGAAAATATGCATGCTATTTACCAAAACAAAATTAGTGTCACCTTCACAGGAAAAAGTAACTTTGCCATTTATAACTATACTGAATGAAAAAGCTTTTGAATATTTCTCAATTGTATTTCTGTTTTCACAATGTTGACCTTTGCTACACTCGAATTAAAAAGAAACCAGCTCTAAAAATTCTCTAAACATCCAATACTCTGAAATTTTACAAAATTCTTTTTCACACCAAAAAATGAAAATCAAAACAATTCATGCATTTTCCAGTTGAGATCCATGTGAAGTTTCTCCAGATGTAGTATGTTTATACAGTAACATAAGGGAACCGCCAAACTTAATTAATTCTCTGCAGTGTTACTTAAGGTCCTTGGAGAGAGAACGCCAAACATAACAGAACACAAATATACTCTTCTACCTTTCTAGAAGATATACAACACAGTAATTCACAACAGGCTGCATAAAGAGAAAGATACGCTCACTGTAATAACAGATGGTGTAATTATAACCTGAAATAAAAAAAACTCTGGTGTTTTTGTGTCTTCATGCTATATGAGAAAACAATTTGCCTTTTAGGCTATCTTGGAAAAAGGAAAAAACAGAGAAATGTGTGTTATAATTAAAAATTCTGTAATATCAGTTTTGTATAGTGGCAACAAACTCATAGATGGATTCCTTTGTTTTGCTAAGGGTGCAAYAGGAGCAGAATATAGTTCTCATGGGCAAAGCTTCACTGGTGAGATTAAGAGAACTTAACCTCCTCTCTTATCCCCAGGCCTCTTAAGGTTGTGGTACTATGTTCTCAAGTGATCAGACAGATACTTCAATACTGACAATGTAGTAACAGGCTACAGTATAATTTTTTTTTTAAACATATATTATAGAAGGTTACTACAGCCTTTGTTAGTGTCCTATAATTATTCTATAATTATTTCTGCTTGTGAATCAGTGGACTAGTGTATAATCTCAACCTCACACYGGAAGTCTTTCCAATCTTTGCACATTATCACTGTCGTCAGGATTAAGAAATGCATTTGTGTTAATACCAATAACAGCTTACAAAATACCTATAAGACACTTAATATCATCACAGCTAAGAATATCAGAGACATAAAAAAAAGAAAATCATTTTTAGAACAGAAATGGGAGAGAAATGGAGAATAAAAGCATGCAAGCTTGGAACTCTTCACTTCTCTCAGCCATACTCGACAGTAGAATATAAAAACAACCATGATAATACTTACGTCATAGCTTGATAAATATATTCAATTCCATAGCGCATTGCAAATTCATCTACAATTTCTTGTGCAGCATCATCAAAGTAGACCTTCCAGGCTTCGTCACCTCTCACTTCAGGGATTTTTACAACACCATTGGATTTAACTTCCGTCAAGTAATGGAATAGATTCTAGATGTAAGAAATTTTTCAAACAGGAAATTTCAACTTCTAAGTGGCATTTATATATAGTCTGAAAGCATATTCTATATATTGTGCTCTATGTGTTCATTAATTTAAAATTTTATTTTTCTGTAGATTAGAACTGAAACCCAAGTCTTTTAAAGATATGTTTTTGTAAYAGAACCCTGCTCGTGAGTTTTGTGATTTGGCACTTTATCTCGTTATCATAAGGTTATCTCAGATAAACAGCACGTGGAAACTGCAAAATAAAGTAACACAAACTTTCTCTTCTGTCTTATAATGCCCTTGCTAATAAATAAATTCATATTATAATGTTCACTGAATGGCCCTTCAACTTGAATTAAATCTCTGACTAATAAATTTCAGATTCATGATTTTAAAAACTGTAAGTTACAGGAAATCTATTAGAAATATTGCAGTAGTGTCTCAAATAATGAAAATTATACTATAAATTTAGGTTTAGCAACCTTTAAACCAGCTCTAGCGTTTAATTTGAAAGTAATGGCACAGAAAGCTTCCTGGAGGCTTAACTATCTCCAAATATATTTAAAAACTGGACAAAGAATTTAATTTCTACCTTTTTCAGTGGCAAAAGCAAACTAGCAAATAACTTAAATGGGGCAATTAGTCTTGCAAATATGGACGGGATGTCCCTGAAGCAATAGGATCTACTATTTACTTTCAGTGTCCTGATCACAACCATTATAATAATTAGGTSAAATACCGTATTTGAACTCAAATGCCTTAACATTCAAGCTAACAAAATTTGAACAAGGAGTCTAATTTTGTGACTATATATTAGTACTGAACTTTCAGCAACATAGGTAATATCTACCAGTTTTCCAAAAGTACTTGCATATTTGGGATAAAACTTCAATATGTACCACTGCCTGAGGGAAGAGGAATTAAATACCAAGAAAATCTTTTGAAAGATACATTCAGTTTTACAGATCAGGATTTTTTAATTGTAGACAAAAGCAAACCAGATGATGTAATTTTTATATGTCCGTGCTTCTGATTCTGACTTTTTTTTTACAAGAACAATTAAAAATTGGTATTAAACCATTCCCTCTTTGACCCTGAACACTGGCATGGTATCAGATATAAAAAGTGGGAAATCTAAAAAAAATTTGGCTTGAAAAAATATGCCATAGTAGAGATAATTGCATTCCTATTTTATTTTTTTCCTAGTCTTTTGTGCTCATCTATATAACTACTGAATAGTAATTTGCATATAGCACATCTTCACTTCTCCAACATACCTCGTGTAAACACGTGTACTGCACATGGTAGGGAGCAACTTTCTCCTCTCCTTTTATTTCAACATTGATTTTCAATCTAATGGCACCAGAGACAGCTGATTTATCTGTCCGCTTTTCTGAAGAGCAGAAAAATAACATATTAGTAACAACCAAGATTTCATTGAAGTCATGTGAAAAGCTTCCATAATCATTTTGGATCAATAACACTGTTTTTAAAGCCAAAGTCCAGGGGCTGAGTATAAGAGATTTTTTTTTAGTAAGTCACATGGTCATGAAGCAGAATATATAGCTATGAAGTAAATAACGCTTCTTACCTATATACCCCAAATTCAAAACAGGTTGCGTGCAGCTTTTATAATAAAACATATTTCATTTTTTAAATTTGGTATCTATACTAATCATTATTTTCATTTCCTTCAGTTATCAAGACATTAGCAACAGTTTCAAACACAATGTTGGAGAGAAACTCAGAATGTTTTTAGCAGAACTGGATTCTAGAGCTGAGCTGAATTTTACAGAAGAACTAATCTGGAGAACTTTGTCCTAAGCTCTCCATATTAGCCCCTTTAGTTGCTATAATTCCTTGTGGAGGTTAGTGATACTCTTCAATTCCACCTCTTTTGTTTCTTTCTACTCAAGCAGGATAATCTGAAAGAACACATATAATTATTGTAATTCCTTTGTAAAGCATTGTGATGTGAAAGATGAATGAACAAGTGAATTAGTGTAATTTATCAAAATTATTATTTTACAGATCTAATTTATTTCTGAGTATTTTACTCCTCTTTCCTCCATGTGATTTAACATCCTGTATTTGGGTAAACATGTGTATACATCAGAATAAAACACATCATTATTTTTAAAGCATAAAATTAACATGAGCTATCTACTGAAGTTTCTTTTATAGAAACAGCTTCAGAGGTTTTCATTCTAAATCTTTTTTTCATTTGAAGAGCATACAAACTTGCTCTTACAAATCTCATTTATTAGTAAAAAATTAGGAATATACTTCTTCCAACCAAATGAGCTCACTATCATTTAAAAACAAATCCATTTCATAATAATTCGTCAGTATTTATATCACTTTGAAATATTTTGAAAACTAAGATAACTTGGTTATTATCATTGTGAATTTCACTTCTAAAAAAACCTTGTTATAACAAGGACATAAATATTTCTTCTCCATTTTAATGGGAAATCAATACTTGCCTAACACATCTATGTAGTAGAATGGTCAGTGARGTCCTAGACAGGGAACCTAAGACTTGTTGCTCAGGAAACAAATGCTTTCCAATTTCAGAGAATTGTATTACATAACATACCCAAAATGCTTTATAGAGCACACAACCTAAATAAAAACACTAATAACAAATTTTTATTACTAAATATAGGCCAAGTCCTATTCAAAGGACTAGTCCAGGACATTCAGTGCACGTGAACACATTTTCAGARTAAGAGAAAAGTGGTAAGCTTAGATTAAGATAAAAACAATATTCTCCAACATACTCTTAAGTTAATTATGGTTCAAAAAACAATGCTCTTCAAGATTTGACCAGACAGAAAAGTCCAGTCATTAAGGACAAYAGTATTTTGAGCTTCAGCCAACTGCATTCAATTTATACTACACACCTAAATGAATTTAACCTGTGTAGAGAACAGAAAACACAGTCTAACAAATTTAATGAAGATCAAATGTAAAAGCAGTGGAGAACAGAAGAGAAGGAGGCCCAGAATTATGTCTAAATAATTTTAAAAAATGGTGATAAATGAATGTGCACAATAAAGCTAGCTATATTTGCTAGATTTTTCTATACCGCCTTGAAGGTCTATTTCCCATATAATGCTAGTGCAAATCAACTTGTCTGAAGCATAGGGGTTTCTTATATAACTTAAATTAAAATCAAACACTTGTCTGACACTATTTTAAGTAGTCTGCTTTGTAATTGTAATATATCTTCATCAAAAACAATTTTCTATCCAACTTGTGATATATAACATTCAAAATTGGAACAGGTTTGCCATAAGAGTTTATTATATTGGCATAAGAGCTACCTATTTTGAAATCTCCACTCTAAAGACGTTGAGGTTCTGAATTTGTTTAAATAAAAAATATCACCATGAATCATACCTAAATTATACCATACGTCCATTTCTCCACTTAGTGTTCTTACTTCAATGATTGTTTGCCCAAGAAAATCATCTGATTCCTTTTTGAAATGTTGTTTTACTCTGGATTTAATATCATCATCTTCATCCCAGACTCTCACTTTTATTCTATCTGTAGAGTTATGGCATTCACTGTAATAATAATAATAACAAAAACCAAACTATCAGTCATGCATAAGCTAGGCGCAATTGTAATGCTGTTTAATTCATTCTCTACGATTACAGTCCCCCTGCTTAACAGCTTCARGTGTCAGAATACCAATACTTGTAACACTCAGTGGAATACAAGGCGATACCATGTCAACAGGAATAAGACAAGAGTGACTATACATAGAACAGAAGAAAGTACAGAAATTAACAGGATTTGAATTATATATGCACATATGGATAGTATTTAGGAGTATGATGAATTTATCACTGAAAGAATAAATTAATTTACAACAAGCACTTCCTTAGGTTATGTACACAGTACACAGAGTAGACAAAATGAAAATAGTCCATAAAAAATGTTAAAACACAAGATTTGAGACGATCTTAAAGAATACTTCCACTATGTGGCAGGAAGCTTCTGAATGGGCAATGACTGAACCCTACAAGTATGCATGAAACCCACAGTAAGGCAAATTAGGCAATCAGAGAAAACGAGGGAAATAAGCAGTCTCTTTCTTTAAAAGATTTGTTACTTTTCTCCAAGTTCTCCTTTTCTCTAGTGAGAAGGAACAATAACWGACAGCTGAGTAATAAGAAATTCCTTGCAAAGTTCAGTGACTCCTTAAATTGAGTTGAATGGATCTGAAGAACCACTGGACTTTTAAGACAAGGAGCTGGCTTCTGTCTCCTGAGTTCATAGTGGGGAAAAGTTTCTGCCCTCACCTCCTTCCTGTATATATTTTGAAAGATATGACAATGACATTCAATGATATTTTTTATTCCTAAAGGTATTGCAATAAAAATCTACTGTTGGTTGGTGTTAAACTTTGATAATACCATTAGTGTATCCTAAGACTAACTAAAGAACTCCGTAGTAGCAATTTTTTTTCCAATAATATTTAATGAGTGGTACACGCCTGCCAACAGTTACAAGCCCTGATGCACTAATGCTATTGGATCTGCACTACTACTTTTTATTTCCATTCGGTAACATTACAAAAACATTTCATATGTTACAGATTTCCAGCTACCCTTTAAATATGTTTCTTCAGCGTGGCAGCAGTGTCTCATCTTCGGCACGGTCCTAGTCTAGGACCTAGTTCAATTTTGACCTGAATTCTATTCTAAGCGCTATCACTGCTCAGTGATCTGTCTTGGTGTTCTCAGCGTTAAAATGGTAATACTATTACTTATCTCCCAAGCACCCCTCAGGGGTTCTAAGAATTAATTAGCAGTGGTAATGGGCTTTGCAAGTATAAAGTGCTTTACATGTTATTATTACTGACAAGGCCAATCAGGCATGAAAAATGGCATGCATATCTTTTACTCTGCCTCATTGTGACACTACTCAATAATATCAAAATGCTCCTACTTGATCATATTCCTTATTTTTAACATTGCATATATCTCTCTGATTAAAATACACATTGTCCTTTTATTAGCAAAACTAATAAAGTCTGATTTCTTTTTGTCTTATGGCTGGCTTCCCTGGTATCTAACCAAAACTAATCACAGAACAAATCTCTTTTTATTAGGATTTTTATAAATGGGCCCTTCATATGGACTTCCTGCTGTCTAYATGGGTGAGCTCACACAGAAGCATTATTAGTTTCTCATATCTGACCATCAATTTTCATACAACATGGTGGACATAGTATTCAGTACTTTGGAATTTCTCTGGCAGACCAGAAAATTCAGTATTGGCAAGGACATATCAAACACAGACATAGACAAAGACAAGACRGGCCGAACAGACATCTCCTTAAGCCCTAACAAGCTACAGTAAACTCAGAAAATTTATTCTCTTAATGTGCAGCCCTGAATTACTATTCAACATTGCCAGAGTCCTCGATTGCATTTAGCTATGTAGCCAATAGAAATATGAAACAGAACTTCTAYGGTGGTATAAGGAGATCCATCACTGGYGAGGCATTTAAGGAGATCCATCACTGGCGAGGCATTTATGTGACCTCATCACTATACCTGTGCTACTAGAACAAAACCTGCGCCTGCTTTGCTTCTTGGGGAGATGCTGCATAAAAGTCATTAGATAGTAATGCAGTTTAAATAACATATCTTATTCTTCTGAGACAACATGAATTTCCTTCTGACATACACTTAGCTGATAAGAAATATTTGTTCAGACAGTCAGGACCACTGCTCTTTCCCCAATATTCTCCTTTGTTCCTCACACATTAATTTCTCCCTTAATCTCAAGGCAGTGAGACAGGGTGATACCCATTTCTATCCACAAGTTTACTAACCTGTTAATCATCATGCCTAAACCTTTATGTTTGAGTCAGCTCTGCTTCTACACATTTGTAATGTTCCCATGCAAAACTTAAACTTTTATAGACTATAGTGGTGCAAGAAAGTGCAGTGTGGATGAACAYTGTGACACTGCAGGGAGAATCACAGTTCGAGTTACTGAGCTGTCTCTACATGACTCTACTTAACTACTCAGCCTCTCATGAAGAGCACTACATAATGAGCTGCACATTTGCTATAGTCACTGTGGTTAATCTCTGTGCAGAAGCTTTGCAAGCTTTACAAAGATCATGGGGTGGGATTCCTGGTTCTGTTACACTGTCCAGGTAAGTCWTGGCAAAGACAACATAGGCCACTTTCAAAGCATTCCTCTTTTAGCCATTCCCCTTYATATGCTCAGTAAGAAGACAGAAATGTGGGCTAATGCATAATACAGGAAGGTGAAAAGTGAGTGGTTCTTGGCATACAGAGTTTCAAGTTTCTGAAAGCTAAAAAACTGCAGTATACTCAGGTTAAATAGTGCAGATCATTTTAATAATTTATCAACATTTATCAGCAGCTCGATGAGGCTACAGCATTTCTGCTTATACAGAAAGGTGCAGACGCAAACGAATCCTTGTAGTATTCCTTCTTTTATTCTAATTGTAGAGAATAAGACAGTAATAATAAATTATCTTTATTATAATACCCATATCCAAACTCCATATTAGCTACAGTGCTACCCATATGCAAACTCTGTATTAGCTACATTGCCTCGATCTGATCTAAGATTTCAACTCAGTCTTAAAACAAGTAACTGATATTATACCATGTTCAGAAAAGAAGTAATTGCCAACAAATGAAGATGGCAGACAATGTACAAAAACTAAACTGCCTTTCTGTCAAAAAAATTGCTCATAACAGCAGTCTTATCTTGTAGTCTTTAGTAAGACTTCTAATATCCTCCAACAAAACTCTACTCTACACTTCAGGATAGGCTGAGGTTTTTATTGCTCTTTTCTAAGCAGCGACACCTACATTTTCAGGTACCAGGCTATAAAATGTATTATCTCTCGGCAAAATTCTGGAAGCAGCAGACAAATTTAGAGTGGCTGAGACATACAGAAAATGAGTCTGACTAACAATTAAGCCTTTACTCTCTACCTCTGCCCGCTCACTTCTTGTTTTGAACTTTTCGTAATTTAACAATTTGTTTTTTGCTTCCTAAATTGGCCCATCCTTTCACAAATGAGTAAAAATCAAGCATACGCTGCTTTTATCCAATGCTCCAAAGTGGAACAAAATCACTCCCATCATAAAAGACAGAGGCAGRGATAAAACATAAAAAGTTTGTTTACAGATAGCATTGCATTCCTTGAGCACTCAGCAACTTAATCAAATGTCGTAGGACAGTATGCTTTTACGTTTTTATTATCAATAATTACCCAAATATAGCATGTAGTGGAAATAAGATTATTTGCTAGTTTAAAAAAAAAAAAATGGAGATTATTCCAAAGAAGGTTTCTACTTATTAGATTGCCCTTTCACAATTCTTTTTTCTAACTGCTATCAGTTGTTTCTATACTCTACATCAAGTCACTTACTTGAAAGTTGTTATTTTAAAAAGCCTGAGGATACAATATTATTATTATATTGACAACAGATTTGCACATCACTTATCTGAGATTCGSTTACATGCATACATATCAAAGAAAAACTGATAAGAGATAAATACAATTTTTTTTTTTTTACCAACATGAGCACTGTCACATAGAAAATACTTCAGAATTACAAACAGCTTAACTGTTCTCATCTCCAACAGTTTTTATCTTCTTTCAAAGTATTTAAATAGGTATTTTGCAAATCAATGCGTAACAGTTTTCCCCTCCATCTTCCCATAGTGAGACAAGGGTTTGCAGCTGAAGCCACTGCAGTTTTTGTAGCAGAATTTGGATCTTATAATTTCCTTCTATGATCTTTCCTTATTTAAAAGAAATCTGAATCTTAGTTCACTACTGAAAATAGTTACAGGTAAAAATAAAGTAAGGATAAAATAAAAAAATACAGTTGAAATATAAMCGTGTAACAATGATTAATCCAAAAAAGAGAAAAGAAAGAAAAAAGTATAATTCTGTGACAAAGATTTAAAGGCAAACAGTAATTTGGCATCTCTGTCTCATGATTTTTACTGTCACCTACTGAATGTGCATATTTGCCTATTGCCACTGGGATATACTCTCCATAAACACTGAAATCAGCACGAGCATTCTATTCACCAGGTGAATTGACAGAACTTAACTGGGCTATTTTATTTTTACATTTATTTGGCTTGTCATCTTATTATGCTGTGATTCAAAATCATGTTTGAAGGTCAAATTTTGGGGGTCAGTACATACCTGAAATTTCACTGGTGCAAGTAAGATGGTATCAGTTCTGGAAAATATGTTATAAAAGATGCACTCAAACAATTGGGTCATGTTGACAAGGGTAATATTTGAGAACTAGGGTAAAGAGCAGTATTGGCAGATACGATATTCCCTTAACATAACTAGGAAGTGTATAGGAAGAATGATAACATGAATCAAGATATGACAATGAAAAAGCATTCTAGCTGTTTAACCTGTAGTGTATARGGATTTACAGAACAGCAATATTGAAATAATTTAATAGCAGTAATCAAGAATGATCATTGATCATATATGCATTCTCAAATGCAACTTACTCCAGATTTTATCATTGAGGGCTGTAAAATAAAAAACGGAATACAAAGAATTCTTGATGGAAAACTGATTAAAACAGACATTTAAAAAATATTTAATTATTTCCCTTAGGAAAAAATAGAATGAGATTAGTTGCAATACCACTTGCATTAGTTCATTCTCTAACAGGGAGTATGTTGCATAAAAATTAACCTGGACTTATACCAGTTTGAAAGAAGACTCAGACCAAACATGCTGTACTGCAAATTGGAAATTACTATTGCTGAACAAGCAATTTATCATTTTAATTGGTTGCTAAAGGTGTTCTGCTATGTGTTTTGGGCTGAAGCCACAGGATATAGTTATCTTCATTAGCAAAATGTCTCTCAGGGACTTATCTGCTTGGCTGCTTACTGAAGATTTTTAAGTTTGGATAAATCCAGTAAAATAATTTGCATGTTTCTATTATCAAAGAGAATCCAAATTTTGTGTAAAATAATTCTCTGYTAGATACTCCTGCTTACAAAACTATCTGTAAGCTGTTTGAACATTGTTGCAGGACTGTGTTTAGATATTACTGAAAATTTCAGCTACACTGAAGCCTACACTATTTAGAACTCAGTTCAGTTGGTCAAGAATATATAAAATAACTCTAGTAAAGGACAATGGAAAGGTTCTCCTGCTGTATTTATTCCCTAAACATGGCTGCCTCTAATAAGTAATGGCTTGAACTAATTCACAAGTCACCTTATTGCAGTGTAAATCAAACTCTGTGACTGCTGTTACTTTTAATAATATTGCTAGGGTCATGTACAGGATAGTGACACTCAAGGCTGAGAAAAACACGTAATTTTCAATTTTCAGTGATTTTACGGTAGCCCTGTCCACATCCTTGAGAAAATACACCCCAAAACTCCTAACAGGTTTGCTCAGTGCTCCGACAGCTGTTTCAAATGCCTGAACAGTATTCATTAAAACGCCAACAGAAATTGTTTCCGTATTCTATGCTGATAAAGAATGATTGGACCTCATTAACTTCCTCACAGGAAAAGGGAAGGGAAGGGGAAATTAAACAGTGCAATAGTTTGAATACAATTATTTTACACTGTGCTTGGTGGTTATTTTGAAATTGCCTGTTGCACACTGTGATTAACTAGTGATTCTGAATGCTGACCAGGCAGTTAGCAGGATCCTGAGCTGTTCCGCCACTGCTTCATGAACCAAGTAATGCTCAGAGTAATGCTGTGAAGTGCATTAGTCAGCACTGATGCAGGRACTCATCAACTGCAGGTATATCAATTAACATCCAATTTTGAATAGCACTATTATACATAAATGTAATGGACTTTTGGAACACTAAAAGGTTAGACTATTAACATGTGTTGACAATTTGCATACAATCTCAGTAAAAATGCAAATAAGACCATGCATATTGTATTTGACAAACACTGAAATGTTATATGCTTTTCCTTATGATTACTTCTTTTCATAATTTAYTATATTAGCAATTTCACACACCCTTCAAAAAAATCTACTGACAAACTTCTACTTGAAGYGTACTGACTTCACATGATAGTACTGTTCTAGAGAACTAAGTTCAAAAATATAAACAATTACCCTTTTCTTAAAAATATCTGAACAAGATCTAGGGCTTAAATTTGCTTTTCAGACTCATTAATTGAGTTTGACAATAGCAGTTATGAGCACCATATACTGTAGCACATAATAACCAAGCTGAGGAAAGGATAAATGCTGTACATATTACTGCTGTACATATGCTGTACATATTACTATATGCTCTACATATTACTATATGTAGAGTAATAACACACACCACTAATTGGTACTGTCATTAAACTGGTGCCATTCACAGTCAGGAACATGTTGTATCCTACAACAGTACTTACAGGAAAAGGAGGGTGTATGTGAATTTGGATTTCCTGTTCTAATTCCACCTTCTGAAAAAAGCTCTGGGAACACTGCCAGAATCAAGATATGGACCTTATTAAGCAGGTAAGGTTTGAGTGTTCTTGTGAATAGGGTCATTCATCTGTTTGTAAAATGTCCCTTAACTGTACTTCCCARACTAGAACTGGCATGAAATCATTCAAAATCTGAGTCAACACATTACAGCTTGGAACGCCTACTTTTGCAGTCAAAGCTGAACTTCTSTAACATGCTGACAACAAAACACACTATTTCCAGTTCAGGGGCTGTGATCAAAGAAAAGGAGACAGAAAGAATCTATTCTTATCTCCAGACAACACTCAGTCCTGGAAAGGTCTGCCGAGTAGTCAATACAAACAGCCCGGCCAATAGGGCCCATACCATGCCCTATTAAATTCCYGAGTTTCACCTAGGAGTATGACAAGGTTGAATAAAACCACATTCAATTTCCATGTTCTCTCAAATCAGAGCTTACTAATTAATATGCTATAAATCTTCATAATATAGACAACAGATATTTTCACGGAAGACACAATACATATTTTCAAGGAAGTAATTCTTTCACTCAGCAGCATTATGTTACTAAAAAAAGATTAAAATATACAACAACATATTCTATACTCACAAATAAAATTTTTCATCCCAGATTGGATTCAAGTTTCCAAATATAGTCTTTGTTCTCCGCTTGTTTTTGCCAACTTGCACAGTAACATATGGGTCACTTGAGCCAGTTTTGTCTTTAGCTTGTAAGCCCTGAGCACAAAGCACTGCAAYAAAAGCACAGAAGTGTGTTTTAGCCCTTCCAGCTCTCATTGCCAAGAAACAAATGAGAGTAAAAAGCAACAGGAAATGAAGCCCCCAAACTTAGGACTCCTGAAACAACTTTTTCTGGGTCAATTTTTCCAGACAGTTACTTGAGAGACAGACAAGGCTTTTCCAACAGGCTTTCTGGACTGTCTRTATTTGGTTTAATCAATTAATAATTTAAAAATAACCTACAAAGCACAAAACAAGCATTCTCCCTGCCATGGATAATTCAGATATTCAAACTTTGTTTTAATCAGCATGGCAAGCAATATAATGATATGGTAGAATTCAGCCCGAGTCTTACGACTCCCTAAAAAGCAGATCAAAAAAATCCAAAATCTGCAGTGCAGATCACAGAAACAACCACGAATGTCCTGACAGATTACAGTTGATTCTTCATCATGTTATAGACAAGTTAAGAGCATTTTCAGAGTACTTTCTATTCTACCATAGACAGGATGACAGTTTAAATCAATTGTTATTAGCTGTATATATATGTTTGTTAACATTTATGGCAGTTAATAGTATGACTACAGTTAATGTATATGCATTTTGTGGAAACTAAATACTTGTAATTTGATTTTCCAGCAGATTTTGCAACACTGTAGATCTCTGGAGAATGCAAGACTGTCTGATTCAGGCCTACCAAACTCAGAAGAAGTTATAGCTAAAATATTTGTCATAACTCCTAACACTAGCAGTGATCTTTTTTTACTATTTTGTGCCTATTAYTTAAAACATCTTAGTGGTAACAGTTAACACCTGCTAGTGCCAATCATTTTGGATACTGAAAGCTCACTTGTGGTGTGCTCAGAAAAATGACTTCCAAAAAAAAAAAAAAGGCATCTTGTCTTGTTCAGCAGATCTGCTCCCTGTGTGAATTCAGTCACATCAGCAGACTTTAATGATACAAGTTTCTGGGTGTTTTTGCACATCCTATTCCTGTCAAAAACCTATTAAAACTTAGGAATTAACTAGAATGTCTTTTGTCCTCCTCATTCTAACTCAAACGAATTTTTTAGAAATAAAAGGAGTAACCCTCTCATATTTATGCAGAAAAACTAGGTGCCAACTTAGAAGATCTTTTGGCATATGTGGTGGGTTCCATGTTCCTGTGACTTAGCATTACTGAACAAGAACACAACCTTAGCCAAACAACAAGGGAACACTCAAATGAATGGCGTTTGGAATTATGAGCTGTGCTTGTCTCAGCATTTCAGTCATTAAGAGCTCGTAAAGGAGATCATCAACTGTATCAGTTCCATTTGATCAACTGTGACAAAAAAAAGATAATCTCAGGCACAGGAGGGTATTGGTAGGAGACAGATCAACCCCCAAAAGACCACTTGCTTCCTTGAGCTGTATAATCCAAAGTAGTTTTTAAAACAGTTGTAATGTACAGTTTTTCCAGTTAGTGGGGGAAGAGGTCTTAACTGAAAGCACTACGCAACATTTACCTGTGATGGTTATTTTTGCTGACCACTTGGATGTTCCATCTAAAACACTTTGTTTTGCTGCCTTTGTATATAGTACAAAATCTTCTTTGGAAATATTAAACATTTCTTGGATCACCTCAAATACCTCTGGTCTATTTTTCTCTCTAATCTTCATTCTTTCCTTCATAGCACTAATAATATTCTGTGTTTTATCTTCTGCACCATGTTTGGAACTYTTCTCAGCAGCTCCTAAAATGGAAKAAAAGGTAAATACATTCACTAAAACATTGGTGTCTTATAGCTGTTTTTCTAGAGCCTCCAGTCAACCATTTAGTAATGCAGTCCTCAAGAGATGTGTTTCATATAGATTATGCAAAGCCTCATGTTCTTGATGACATCTGAAATTACCCACTGATTTAGCTTAATATGACAAGTTAACAATCAAATTGGTTTGTCATTTTTTGAGATATTTATTAAACTCTAAAACATRTTTATTAACCTGCAAAACATCACTACTAATAAAATATCAGTGCAACTCTGCATAAGCAACTTTTCTTCTTTTCAGTTCTCACTAGTCCTTTATGCCAAAGACAGAGTCATTTGAGAATCAAGCAGTGTTGATTCTATCTAGTTTAGGAGACAGGCTCATTTCCTACTCTGTACCACAGGATTGAGTCCAAAATACTTCACTAAACAGACAACAGAGTAATGCATCTTGCATCCTATTCTAAGGAATTTATATACTCATTGAAAACTATTTTGGTTCCTCAGTCAAAAACCTGCAGAAATCCCCTCAGCTCATAAATCAGCTTTGCTCAGCAGAACAAGGAACACAAAGCTTTGCAACARATTGACTACAATCAGTTTTTCTAGTCTTTAAAACTGAAATTCTGACATGATGAGCTTCTCCCGGGTTCATGGTAGTAGGCAAAATCACCTTCACCACTAATATTGGCAACAGTATCACACTGCAGAGAAACAGAATAAAAAGTAATCTAAGTTACTTACTTTCTAATTTCATTTTTATCTCTTATAAATTATCTTTCTAATATTTCTTCTCTCATAGATACTTTGTTATTTTTAAGAGATAAGATCCTGTTTACTGCTTTTTATTTTTACTTTGTCCTGTTTTCCTCTGCATACTGCTCTAGTGATAGAAACTCTTCTGAAAAAAGAATTATATATTCAATTGCACTCTAGAACCTTTAAGATAGATGGATTTTCTTTCAAATTTAATCGATCYATAATATTTATTTTACCTGGTTGCTTATATTCACTAAAGTTCCTTTGCTGCAACTACTTCAAATAGCAGATTTCTCAGCTGGAAAAATCCATTATTTTTATTGCTAGTGCATTTATTTTTATTTATTATAGTTAACACGTAAAACATTTGGCTTTCCAGGGAGAATTTTAATGAGATGTTAGGACTGCTAAATGACTGTTGATGAATTGCTCATATTCCTATAATGTGTATCAGCAAGTTTTTTTTTTTTTTTTTGAAAAAAACCTTTGCTCTGTTCTAAGTCAAAACAAAGAGTGCTTTACAGTACTTCTGAAGTACAGAAAAGTACTTCACAAAACGTCAGTCTGGATGCTGTCATGCGCTCAGGAAGGCAGGTAACATGCTGATGTTACAAAACATTATTTTGTAACTGACCAGCATCATTCAGCAAATTTCAAGAACAAAAGCAAAACGAACAGTATGTATTTCACCAAATTTCCAGCTACTTTTTCAGGCCACTGAGCAGGAACTTGATTCCACTGTTTATTCCGGTGATATGGCCCTTCACTTCAGGAAACTTTAGGGCATAAACACAATGAAGTACTGCAAAGTGTCAGCTGTCAGGAAATACTCACTCTGCAAACAATCAGCATTTAGGAGGTCTTGGCACTTCTCATGACATTTGACACCGCATTCAGTGCATCTCATGCCTTGCCTGGCTATACCCCAAAGTAGACCTTCACATTCRTAACAGTATGTGGGAGTTGTAGCCGTCCAGACTTCAAAGTTATGAGGTGTAGTTGATGACATTGGATAGATCAAAGCCTGCAATGTCTTCTTGAAGACATGTATTTTCTGTTGAGTAAGAAAAAAAAAAAACAAGACTTTGGTTAAAATGCTTCATAAAGTGAACTGGAGTTAAAGCATATTTAATTAGACTTACAAYTTTACAAAGTATCAACATACGTATCGAACTATGAATTTATCTTCCAAATTCATTTAGTCATTTTGTCCTGTACTTTGGAAAGGAAGGTTGTTGGATGAGTTTTTGACTGATTACAGAAATGGGAGAGTRAAGATATACTCAGCTCAGTCAATTATAGTACCAACAAAGTCCCTTTTATGTGTATTTGATGTACAAATCTTACAGTCATTAGCACTACACTYATAGATGCATTTTAAGTAATTACACAGCAGCGTACTACTGCATATTTAAATGCTTACACACACTGCACAGTAGGTACCTGCTTACATATAGTGTTTTAATACTATTATCTGTACAGATTCCTTTAGAAATAAAATTAGATGAATTTTATCCTCCTATTCTGTCTATATTCCCAAAGCAGCACACTCATTTCTTCCCTTTTAAGAGTCAAGATGTCTTTTTACTTATAAATAAGAATGGTCTGCACCCACAAAAATAAATATCCATGTTTGAACTAGTTTAGCTTAGGGACTCCTGAGTAATTCTAGCAAGAGAAAAAAATGCTGGCTATTCACTGATTAGTACTGCAAACAACCTGAATATCAGCTCCTTAGTACTTAATGAGGTGAAGTCTGATAAATAGCCCTTTAAGTTATAAATATAAATCATAGGCTTATCCATCCCCCACAGTGGTCTACTTTCCTTATTCAGCTTTGTTTTCAGATACTCAATTCTTCCWAGTCCTGTTGATTTACTTGGAATAAAGAAAAGTTCAGCAGCCTGTAGGCATCATTCAGCACCACACACAGATAGGATTTCATTAGAAATTCTGGACCTGTTCACTTCTAAATAAACTGATTCTTTTAGAAAGTAAACTACTTTTTTAGAAAGAAGAAAATATATGAAAAGAGGCAGCATGGGGTAAAGATTTTTTCTGAAAATTAGTCCTTCTGGACATCACTGCAGCTCGTGCAGACATAACGTAGCTGCTGCAGCAAGCTGGGAAGCAACATTTTGGAAGGTGTGCAGTTTATCCACATGAATTCCATTACCACAGCTACTGTGCTGCTGAGTACAGAGGGTAAGGTGATTCTTGAAGATCAGCCAACTGCCTTAGGTATGAACATACTGAAAGGCTTGATATTCTCTAAGAAACAAACATTGAAAGTTCTTATACTGTAAACGCTTATGAACTCAGTTTTATTCGACTTGGAGTATTTAAGGATTAAATAATTTCTGAAGAGATTTGAAAAGAAAAATACCTCCATTATTTAAATGAATTCAATCTGCCACTGAAAACACTTACCATTTCTTCATTGTTTATGGAGGTCCGAATAAGCATTGTCATGGAAATACCAGATTTTCGGGCAGCAAGTGTCTGTTTAAAGCAAATGAAATATTATTAATAATTTTATCAGAACTTTACTTGTTGAAACTAATGGCTCCCTAGTGGGATTTAAACAAAACTGTGGGGAGTTATGAATATCTTTTAGTTTAGTGTATTACAGAAAATAACTTTTAAAGTTTTGGTATATATTGGAAACACTTTTTCCATCATCATTACTGTCTTTCTCACCTGAGCTGCCATTTTTTATATAGAATCTGTTATTCAGGGTTTATGATTCAGTTTTTTTAAAACACAGGTTGCCCCTGTTTTCTGCATTGCCAAGTAAATTAATGTAGTCCACAGACAGGCAACTGTCCTAATTTGGTATCTGTTTTGGCTGCAGAAATATGGGAGATCATTTTACAACAGTCTCATAGTTCAAGTTGTCGGTCTGGATAATTTCTTGCAAGTCACCGAGAATTTTCAGACATGTGTTCTCCATCTATTCCATATCCATGACTATTTTGCCCACATGATCATATAAAACACCTGTCTAGTCCTGAAGACTCTCTCCTCGGTTCTGCAGTTATTTAATTTGCTCTAGCACAGCACAAGAYGTTCCAAACAAATTATTTTTAATGTACAAGAAGGAAATTTTATCTTCCTTAATCTCCTTGTAATTTAAATCTCCCTGTAATTTAATCGATCCTTGAAAATTAATTAGAGGATATAATGATCAGAAGGAAAAGGCACCTGGGGAAATTAGATTTGTGTGTTTCCCAAATGCTGTTCCAATGCTGAACATGACTTCTGCTATCGGGAGCCCTCCCGGCCTGGCAGAAACAGGTAAGATTTATTTCGCTATACAAAATATTAACAGTAACAATGCTGCATTRCTGTATTCTTTCTTGCAAAACTGGGCTGCTGCATCCTCCCCTCAACCAGCCTAATTCACTCCAAGTGTGGCTGTACTCCTGTGCTTTATCTCTCTGCTCGCTAATCCAGCATTTGCTTTGTCATGCATCGCTGCTCTCACAGGCGAGCAGTGTAAGGATGATCAATTATATCACTCAGTAACCATCAAGTCTACTGGCTTTGTTGTGAGGATGCAGTGTGAACTGGGTCTCTGTGGATTACAGAGAGATCATAACAAAATTTCAATTATGTTTTCCATATTACACTCTCAGTTTTAGGAAATACATATTGAGTCAAAAGCTACTTAGGCTTACGTCAGCAGAGAACATTGTCTATGGATAGTGTCACTACCAATTTCTTCCCATTTTATAATTTGGAACACTGACATAACTTAAATAGATTCRTGTATTTTGAGAGTTTAAGACTTGTTCATTTTCCTTTTAAGTGTTTACTTTCTCCTGAGAGCATATCCATTCAATTTTCATAGTTTCCCTTGATAATAATTAAACTTGCAGACACAGAAAAATTACTAATCTTACAAAACTAATGATAGGGTAAGAAGTCACTGGCATAAAAAAATACTTGTTTCATCACTGTCCCATTACAGTTAATATATGATGTGAAATACTTTTYTTTGAAATTCTCAACAATTTACCATGATATTATGATATGAATTTGCTATTAGTTTTCTAGGGCTGTTAAAATTTAAGTAGTTCTCTGTGCTTGTTTGTGGTCATCTCTTGTTTTTACATAAATTTTGCCATTCAAAGTATTTTAAAAATATATGACATGGTGGACAGACACTCCTGTTAACTGTAACTTCGCTTGCAGTAAAATTCCTTCTCATWAGACATTTTTTTCTAATTTGCAATAAAAGGTCATCATAAAATATGGCATTTGCAAATCCCTAGGATTTATGATGATGTTTTGTAATATTTATCAGTATGAAAGCACTTACCATAGCCTGAAAAATCCAGCCAAGATAGGAAAGAAATTACAAAGAATATTAATAATTCAATTCAGTAGATTCCAAAAACATTTCTACACTTCTGAAAAAGTCATATAAGCAAACATAAAAGGATCATTTACAATGTATCTGACTACAAACAATTAAGATTAATGCAAAGCACTATTAAATACGTAAATTATACCTATAYTACAACTTGTAACGGAGTGGCTACTGATAAAAAAGACAACTTTCAATCGCTGCACCTACTGTATCATAGAGAATTTTTAAATGATTGAAAACAGGCAGATTGGTTTAAATCAATAATCATTTACTTTGACTGCCTCCCCTCCAATTCYCTAGAAATGAAGAACTGCTTTTGGAGCCTGCTTGGCAGAGTATGTATTGCACTGAACTCAGAATTCTGTACTTTAGAAATATAAAGAAAAGTGAGAAAGGTGAATGGCACTTCAAATTCCCCAGACCAGACAGATTCTACTTGATCTTCTCTAGACTGAAACTTAGAATAAACTCCAAAGTAACTTAAATTGTTTTCTCCTTGCTAAAACTTATTTGCCTAGACTCTTATTTCCATTAAGGATAGTGATAATAACAGATCCCATCATGTAACAGAAGGAAGGAACRGAAGAATCTTATAATCAGTTGTATCAAAAACGGTTTTGCTTTGGGGGTGAGGTGGAGAACAACTTTCATCCTCTTTCAATTTCATTTAAAAAAACAAGCATTAAAGAACATCTGTTTTCATAAACTAATTCAATATTAGAATGAACAGTTATTTATTCTGCACAGCACGTAAATTAGCTTATTCTACAAAAAAAATGAAAATATTCTACTAAGTTACTTTTTTCCTTATAAGAAATGTAGACAAACTACCAATCATACATATAATAGCAACTGAAATAAAGATCTAGAGAATGAGCAAATAAATAAACCATTTCATRGCATCAGAGAGGTCACTTACCACATCTCGAACAATGGGAAAAGATTTCTTTCTACGCAGGTCTGGCATACTATCAATTCCATACAGCCCACGGCCAGCTCTGAAGACAGAAAAAAACAAGAAAAATATAAAAATCTGGAGTTTGCATCCTTGAAAAGAACTGGTTCTAATATCTATGTGCAGAATTAGAAAAATAATAATAAATAAAAAAGCCTTTGTCAGCTAAAGGAGGTGATCTTTTTTCATTCTAATGAAAAGGAAGGACCATGWCCTGGCATGGCTTGACTCTCTTTCTCCTGGTATTCTGTAGCTGAAATGTCACTTTGTAATTCCTAAAATACATTACCATTTACTTTAACAGGCTTAGCAGGGATTTTCCATCAAAAGGACTTGTAAATTTGATACAAATAACATAAAAATTATAACTAAATACACAGAGCTTTTCATATGACTCCATATGAATAAGGAATAAGGAAAACAGATTTTATTACACAGTAWAATAATGCTGGCTAGAATGTTTTATTTGTAGTGTACTGGACATTATTCTCTTGCCTCCTTTAAGCTTTTTTATTAATCACACATTCAATTCCCAATATTAGATTTCACCTGCAACTTAGAAACAAGAAAGAAAGAAAACTTGGAGACACATCATGGAATAAAAGGCTGGTGAAATAACAGGATCTTGAAGAATACAAAAGGATCCTGTAATGATATGCTTTATTCTCCCAGACACTTCAGAGAACAGCGACTAGCATACTTGTATTATCTTCCTCAAATTGTTCTACTGTAGATTTTGAAAAATGTTAGGTTAAATGGACATTTGGTCATTCCCTATACTGCTGGCGCTATCATTTTTAAAAGACCAAAACCTACAAATGTTTTCATTTGTCACTCAARATAAAGTGTGTTCTATCTTTACTTTTCTCACAGGTCTGTGCAAGAAACAAACACAGCAATATACCAACAACATTTATTTCTTTGTTTAACTCTCAATAGATACAAAGCAGCAACTTTGCTTTCTTGCAGTGTCCTAGTCAAAAGGACTTTGAAGAGTTCAATTCAGGTAATGCTTAACACAGGATAGAGAAATAGAGAAGGAACATAACACGAGACCGTTCCATCTGTGTTATGGCGAGTATTCCAGTTGGTCACGTTTACAATACACTCTTAAATCACAGGAATTGAGAAAGGAAAAGTCAGGTGAGTACATCTAAAATCTAATTTCTTAGGGAACTGGGACTATGGAGCCAGAACTACTTCACTCTGTCCACCAATGTAGACTGGTGTTGGTGTTTTTGGCAGCTGTCAAAGTTACTAAKTCTTCCCAGCGTGGAGGACACTAGAAGTCAGACAGAAATGTAGCGAAATGGGGCTGCCTTCTTGCCCAATGTCCTGGTTTTATGATTGCTTGGACGTAAGTATAACACATTACACCTCCTTTAAGAGTGATGAAGCAAAGAAAGCAAATCTGGCTTATCAAACTAAGGGACAGCTTTACAAGTAGAAAAAGTGCAAAAGTATTGAGAAGCTATCCTTAAGGTCAAAGAGTGCTTTTATTTAATAGTTGTACATAACAGGGGACCAAAAAAAAATTATAAACCACAAAATATGAACTGATGGGGCAAAACCAATAGGTACTGTGGGGCAGGGATAACACTGAAATTTGTGCTTCACATATGAGACCAGTTAGTGTCAAGGGAAGCGTTACCATTAAGCGTATATACCAAAAAGTAATGAGTCAGAAAATACTGATGCACACTCCAATCCTGCAGATCATGTTACTCTGATGAAGCTGTTACTCAGCTCAGCTGCCAAATATTAAGGATTAAAAGTTAGATTTATACATTTGGAGCTGTTGACACATGAAGAAATCCCACACAGGGAAAAAATATCTCTTTTCTCCTATCCTGTAATAAACTGAAGACAGTTTTATTATATATTAAGTTTATTATAGACTATTTTAGTATATACTAAATGTATTATAGACTAAGACACTGAACACTGCTTCTCATATGGATTTTAAAAGACTAGATCTAAGATAAGATCATCACACATTCATTTAATCCTTGCAGTTCAACATACCTACAAGGATATCAATAATGATATCCCACATTCACACTGACGTGTGCTTGCTTCAATACCAAAGATCTATGGGTTTAACTCAAAGCCTGTGGAGTCAAGGGAGTCAGTAAGAATCTTTTTCCAAGAATTTTTAAAAGCAGTGAGGTTATGCTCTAAAAGCACCATATCTAGTTCTCCCAATACTACTGACCATTTTGGCTTCTAAGAAAGATCTTTAATCTCTGCATATTAATAAATTAGTCTTTTTTTTACTGTGGTACCAAACAATTACATGATGAAAAGGGGAATAAACAGTATTTCCTAGTAAGAGAAGAACTGGAAGTTTTTTTTATATTGAAAATACTCTTCATAATTACACTTTCTTTAGATTATTTTCTGTAGTTCTTAAACATACAAGTCTTAACTAAAGTCTTATGAAGTTAATGAAAAAATGTCCACAGCCTCTGACTGAGCCCTATAGTTTAGATAAATATTCATTTTATACTACGGTATAGATCACTTCAAAAATAATTCTTGTTTCCCTGTCCATATATATGGCTAAAAGGAAATGAAATAGTAAACAGAAGTAGGCATAAAAGGTCTGGAAAGAATGATCTTCTAACTAAGTGCAACAGTGAAGTTTAACTCATTTAACTCATTTAAAATTATGATGAAAACATGAAAATATCAGGACTCTATCGGAGACTGTACTCTATACAGTGTATCAACTTAAGATATTTGATTCCAGTTCAGATATTGGATATTTGATTCAACTTCAATCTATGAAGTTGAAAGCAACACAGGTAAGTCCCAGGCAGCTTTAGTAACCGGTAAAGGACTGTTACTTTGTTTCATTGACTTTTTTATACACTTGCTGACTGCCAGTCAACTTGCAGAATTTTTGTGAAGATGTAACCACGGGCAGGTAAGGGAAGGTGTTGAAATGCATCAACACTGGTATTCTATAATGAGAAAATGCAGCCAATGATTTACATAAAAAAACTATAAAAATGGAACCATGTAAATTAATGAAATTTACAATGGTAATGCAGCCATTCCTTATAACATCTGAAGGCTCACAAATCCACCCTTGGGTAATAATTTTTGCTGTAGGTGCAAAGCTGGTATTGGAGTTGTAAAATTGTACGTGATGACTAGGAGAAAATATTAACAACATAGAAGAGATTACAGGACTAGATTTACACCTTTTCTTGATCTTCAGTATATTAAAATGCTACCAAAGAAATASCAGCATTTCTCTGCAAATGAAAGTTGGATTAAATGAGCTAAAAAGRAGCTAAAAATATCATATTAAGAAATGAAAAATGAACCAAATCCYTCTGTAGGGGGGAAAAAGTCTTTTTTTCAGGTCAGCTGAAGAAGTTATCAGAAAGTTTAACACTAGACTAGGCAATACAAAGGGAGTTTATCTACTCAAAATTTGAGATAGGCTATATCTGCAATGTAAAATGAGTAAGTATTAATTTCAGGCCCAGAGGTGTGAGAGTTTCAGGCAAAAGGAGCACACAAATTAAAAGGTATTCTCACAGCCACAGAATCTAGTTTCTGTGAAGTTACAGGAAGAAAAGCCAGTTATAAAGGTGTAAGGCTGTCAAGTAGATGTTCACATAGGAACAACATTAAGATTGTTACTGTGACAGATCAGGGTGAACAAGGAAGGCTGTGTAGAATTATAGRTTGTTTTTGAACTTACAACAAAAACCCCAAGGGGGAACGTGGCAGGAAAAGGTCTAAGCATGAAGAAAAGTGGGACAGGTGTGCAGAGGAGAAAGGCAAGCGGGCCAGACCTAGGTCAGCATCCCGACTCTGTTATATCTCTGGGTAACTGTTAACAGTTTTGAATCTTTTCAAATATAAAAATATCTTCTCTGCTACTGGTATTTTTTTTTTCTCTTCAGTGTTTTATATTTTTAGAAACTATGGCCTGGTCAAACTTAAGTAACTTAAAAATAGCTATAAAAGAAGTGGCTGCATATATAAATGAATGATGGTTTTTTTTTTCATTTAGCAGACATATATAGGGCATGTAGAGGAAACTTTAGAAGGGTGTAAAATGAAACTTCATTTTCATCTATGCTTTATGTGTGACCAACAAAAGGCATTCAAGGATAAAACCTAATACTGAATGTCTGAAGAGTTATGCACTCCATATAAATCAAAGTAAGCAAAAGAATCTCCAAATCACTCAAACAAAATGCATGTTCCAGCTGTTCTCCAGTTTTACTAAGACTTTGCACTTTCATTTCTGTATGAGTGCCTGGGTACTCATGCATTGAGTTTGGTGGGAAGACAGAGGAAAAGTATAAATGCAAGGTGCTATGCAAAAGAAGGATGCAGTCCAAAAAACAATCTGATCACTGTTATTTAAGCTGTAGGCTGGTAATTCGTGGATACAGGCATGAATAAAAGGATAAAGGATACAGCAAATGGATCTGAAGTGGTCTTATACACTGGCTACCAGTACATATGTACTGGCTACTGGATGCCTTTACAAAGGATTAACACACCTTTTCCTCAGGGGACTGAGTACTGGAATCCTTTAACTCATGATCAGAAGGGAGAGCTTAAAAAAACTAACTTCTGCCAATGAGGTCTTTGTCAGTGTCAAAAGGTCTCCTTACCTCTGAAACTAATTTTTGGCTTTTAATCTGCTTTTAGTGTGGGGTGCACCAAAACAACCAATGTCTACACTCTTGTACTTTGTAGTTCTAAGTTTTACACCTATCCAGGCAGCTGAAATTAAGTAATTGCCTACGTAAAGTAGTGCATACAGCAAACYTGTACTGTCTTAGAACTTCTTGCAGGTGCAGGGCTCAATAATTCATTTTAGTGCTTTCACACACAATCTGCTCACAGAACACGACCCCTTAACATCTACTTATTGTAGAAGCTTAGCTATCTCTCCCTTGTATAAACTTAAGATTTTAAATTCTTAAGAACACTTGCTGAAAACAACAACAGTTTTAAAAACATCATTTTTTCTCTGGTCCCATACACTAATGCTTCTGAGAATGACAATACTTAATTTCAATTGATTTCAGCTTACAGTGCAGTTGTCAAGATGTCAGATTCCTGCTTCTCAGTGGAGAAATATAATATTATTTGGAATATCTCCTGTCATAAATTATTCCAAACTGAGAACATCAAATCTAGAAGTAAAAATGAGTTGACGCTGCATCGCACAGCAGAGAAAAGAAGGTTATACCTTTTGTGAATACACCAAAGAAAAGTTGATGKTGTGAATAACAGATGTTGATGTCTCTGCTCCTGATGTAAAATATTTGTGAGAGCCATGACTTGCTGTTAGTGTGGCCTTCTTGATGAAATCAATGGGTAATTCCATCACAAGAGTTATGTGGACAGAGACATAACAAGCTAACATTTTCGTGGCTAAAACATTACTGAATAGGTCTTTAAATCAGTTATAYACCAAGAGAAATGAAACTGCTTCAGATGATACTAGTTTCATGTTAATGAGCAAAGCSAACAAAGTGTTAATGAGTAAGGTATATGAAATAACAGTTCTAGCTTTTTGCATTCAGAACTCAATACAAAAAAGTCTCAGTACTTATAAGGCAAAAGTTTTAGAACTTAAGTCATGACAGTCTTCCCTTTTTTGACTTCATGTGAAAACTGCAAATGAGCAAAATGAAAGCAATTCAAATATTGTTTAGGAGCAAAGAGAAGCACTAAAATGATAATTTTAGTCTAACGTTAAAGAGCAAGTTACTAACAGAAAGACGTAATTATTTTTTTATAATATTTAAGCGTTTCACACTTTCACAGCARTAAGTCCAGCTCAATGTAACTGATGGTCTACTATGTTTTACTGTACCAGCTAGGAGCTGGAAAAAGAAAAATGTAAAGTCTGTTCTTGAAGGTAGAACAGACAGTACAGAAGCTGCCTAAGCCACTGTAAAGCTGGATGCAGACTTGAACTTGTATCAAGTTGTTTGGTGACAARTGCAAATGTTACCATAATTAAACCTTCTACAGCAGGGAATTRTATTGAACAGATTAGTGCAATTAGTACCAGTTAGCTAAAAAAAAAAAAATGAGGCCACAGAAAAGCTTAGCACTATCCAGATTCTGTTGTCTAGTCTCTAAGACAACCAAATTAGAAGATTTAATATAAATTAGATAATTTGATCTCATCTCCTTATCTCTGAAACAAAGCATCACCGTGGGAAACTGCTTAAATAGTCTGTCACCAAGGAGGTAATATCCTTTTTAGGTACTTAAGATAGTGAAAATCTAMATTTATCTCATGGCTATTACTCTCGTTTATTATTCAATTTGGAAACAGAAAAGGAATTCAAAAGAGAAAGGAAAGATTTTCCACAAAATAAGGAATTCTACAGACAAATTCAGGGTAACTATCCAGAGATGGCCAAATAAGACATATAGGCTTCTGCTATGTTCATTCTCTTTCAAGCAACTGAAATAAACCTATTTTTCCTTGTCCTGCTAGATTTCCAKTATTAGAATGGCACTGTTATATTACTATAGATTTATTAAAATGAAGACACAGAAAACAACTTACTATGCAGAGGTACAAAAACTTTGCACTTCAGTTGACCTGTGCAACTGAACTGCGGTAAAAATTTATTTTGAGAAGCAAAAAAAAGAAAAAAAAAGAAAAAAAGAAAGGAAGAAAAAAAGAAAGCAAGAACTTCCAGACCATGACATTCATTATCTTGATTTTAAAACAGTTCAATTTTCTGAGAAGTCTTGGAAACAAGAACAAACCTTAAAAAATTACTACAGTATAACTTGCAGATAAACCAAGAATTCACAGCCATACTGGTACTTACCCAGCAAATGCCTGGACTGCATAAAGCTTGGAAGTATCCAAAGAACTTCCACTTACTATCCGAGCCTTTAAGAACAAAAACAAAAGAAACAAAAATAAAAGAATTACTCACATGTTCCTTATAACCTTGGGACAAATTTTCAATTTTTGAAACATATAACACCTAATATGAAAAATGTTAAGCAGGGTCAGCTCCAGGCCAAAGCTCAGTAACTATTGCTTTGGAACACATTCAGCAGTTAGTAAAATAACATAGGTGGAAACCATGGGAAGGTATGAGACATTGCTTCCCAAATACTGCTGCTCTAAGTCTGAAAGACTATGCAGTAGAGGTAATAATTAGAGGCTAAAATCTCAGATATCATGTTTGACAGCAGCAGACCCCTGCGCTGGAAATGATAAGCACAACAGTGAGGTTTTTTCTGGTGTTTATGCAACATTGGCAACACATTTGCAATACACTCAAAGGAGAACAAAAGAATGGAAAGCTGGGAAAAAACATGCAATTTTCACAACTAAAATGAAGGAACCAGATCAAATCAGTCACAAACACCAACAAATTACATGATCCCTATAGTAAATACAGGATTTTAAACCTTTTCATCCACAGAACTGCYATCTGAAAGAGAATTGGGAAGAACAGGAATATTGGTTAGACAAAATTGTTTCTAAGAAAATTAGAAAATGAAAAGCTTACTATTTCCATTTGTTAATGCAGAAACAAAAAGAGAAGTAGAATCTGAATATAATCAGTTGTTCTACTGCAGCAAAATCATGGTTAATATATTTTGACATGAAAGATGTTTTCCATAGACAGCAATCCCTGTCACTTAGGCAGGTATGGTTGGACACTATATAGTTTATATGTCCTATCTCAATGCAATGCAGGCAATTCTTAATATAAATAACACATATTTAATACGTTGTTCAAATTACAAGTGTTAAAAACTAATTCCCATTTCCAAGGAAAATGAAGTGATAGCTGCTCAAATAATAGAAATGACACTCACCCCAGGCCAATAACTACCATATAAAAGTGATGCTGGTGTGAATTTAAAATGTAATATATATAATTAAAATTTGCTTAATGCAAATACAAGCGGTATTYACCTCTACTAACACATCAAAAATGGGATGACAAGAAAAGTTACCTCCATTTTCACATCTTGTGATTTCTGAAATATCAATAGTCCCAAAATATAACTTTCTGTTTAGTTTGGACACTTCATACCGTACAGCGCATACATGCCCCTGCATTGTCACCTCATTGATCTTTTTTTCCTGTCCCAACGGAAAACACATTTGCTACCCAACATTTAAATAGCTTCATTATTCTTCAGATGTTTGAAGATACCTCACATCATTACACATTACAAAATGACCATCTACACCATAGACATATAGCGTGCTTTAAGGTATTTTAAACAGTTTCTCTAGCATATCACAAATACATGTAGTAAAAATACCTTGCCAAATTTTATCGTGAATACACTGAAGCAGTGACAGCCCAGGAAAATCAGAGGCTACTTTGTTGTGCCAGCAATTGCAGAGGCTACTTATGTAACAGTATGGAGCATGTGCACATGAGCGGCCACAAGAGAACCTGCATGTGCTAAGCTGCTCAAAAATCATTTCATCAGCCTGACTATATGTGGTTTTGTCTTATTCAAGTAAAATAGGCTTGGGCCACCATGCATTAGAAAGGTGCCAAGGCCAAATCTGAATCCACAGAAAATCTGATCTCTCCTCGTTTGGGACTCCAAAAAAACTAGCCCTTTTCTTATGCTTCACTACACGTTTYAGCTTTTTTTCTAATCTATTAAATCATTTTCCTTTTCAATTAGTTCTTGAAAAGAAATCCACCAGTTTAATGGACTCCTTTCTCAATATTAACAATTGCATACAGCGTGCAATTGAATGCACATTTCCCAGAAAATATTTGAGCATTTCTAGTTCTAGAAAATATGATCATGTGTTCAGGGACAACACTTGCCTGTACACTGCTTAGTACTTYGCTCTTCTGAACTCATTATGGGTGAAATACTTTCAACTTTGGAAGAGTTTTGTTAGTGTCAAAGAAATGTGGAAACAGGCAGAAACAACAAGCATGTCACTTTAGCAGGCATTTCACTAGGAGGATCAAGAGCAGTGTTCTTGGATGTAGATAGAAGACAAAYTGTGATAAAGCACAAGACTACTGATTTGTACTTTGATCTAGGAAACACAACGCTAGAGATTTCAGATTATACTGCTAGATGATAATGGTTGACTTAAATGAGCCTCTCTTCATGCAAGTCCTCTCTGTTGTGCAGACGCTTTGGCCAACAACTAAAGCTTAGATAAACAAAGAAGTTTATGTATGCACTAAAAAACTGCAACATTCATTTAGTTAACTCTTTGGGATGGTTCTTATTTCAATAAGTCTTTTTCTTCTTATTGTAGGGAAATTGAAGTCCTCTTACTGTATGGAAACTGAATCCTCATGCAACCCTCTAAGAACTATGGCAGTAAGTATTTCTATACAAGATTTTGAAGTCTGATGTATTTAGTAAATAAATAGCATTATTTGTTTCCACAAGCAAGTGTAAATACCCATTTCAATCCAACCAGTGTTGGACATAGCAACTTGTCTCACTGCCCTCTTACAGCAACCGTGTTCGCTTTATATAAGAAGATGAGAAAGAATGAAGAATAAACCCCTCTCAATTCTGAAACAATTTCAGACAATTTTGAGGTTAATAATTGCTAAAGAAAAGAAAATAAAAGACGAAACATGAATACAAATAAAAGCAGCATATTA